GGGTGTTACGTTTAAAATTGAAATAAAAAAAAATTATGAAAAATTCTCATTTTTTCTTCAATTTTTTATGTTTTCGTTTCTCGTCATTTTTCACAAATTTACCTTTCACCCTTTTTTATGTTATTTTGTCCTTTCTTTTTTTTTTTTGGTTTTTGTATACCCCCACCAAAAAAAACTTACAACTACTGATAATTTTACTCATACCAATTTTGTTGATTTGATCGCTGTCCGTTATTTTATTATTTTTTTTCCATTTACTCTGCAGGTTTACTTATGAAACGTGAAAAGGTTGACTAGTCAGTCAGTGATAAAGAAAAAAATAAGTGAAATCAAAATTATTGAACATAAAAAAAATGGTGGTAGGGTAGGCAATTTTTTTGGTTTTTTTTTTTGGTTTTTTGAGTTTGATTGCTAAAAAACAAAATTTGAGAATAATAATGCATGTATTTTAAGTAACTTTTTTTTAATTTTTTTTTCTAGACCTCTTGCACACTCTTAAAAGTGGTATAGTCGGGAATTTTACACTATAAAAATCAAAAAAATTCATCTACTTTTTATTTTTTACGTATAATTTTTGTTTTCTTTTTTTTTTTTTTCAATTCTTTTGCACATTTTCAATTTTTAGTCTTGATTTATTTTTAGCAATACTTCCAAAAGAGATTATAATTAAAAAAGAAAAATAAAACAAGAATGGAGGAAGCAGAATTCCAAAATGAAAAAAAGAAGAAAAACTCCCTATATGTACGTTAAGGATATTTCGTTGGAAAGTAAATTTTGATGTGGCATATTATGAAGATTGTATACGTTGCATTGTGTATGAGTTAAGTACTTTATGATTTCACAAATTCAATGAATGTATGTGAAATTTTGTTCTATTTTGTTAATATATTTTATTATATTGATATTGGGGGTTACTGGTACGTGTACCTATATTGTACGTATAGAAAAAATGGAAAATGAAAAAAAAACATCTTCAATAATGTGTACTGACCATTCAATTCTCATCCCATTCTTCTTCTTGAGTAATTGTGCCTTATGCATTTTTCATTGTGTATTTATTAAAGGGAAAATTTGATGTATGTATGTGATATCTTTTATGGATTCTTTTGTATTTCCTTTTTTTGTTACTTAAAAAATTATTGTAGGGAATGCGTATGGAAAAATTTCCTTTTTCTTTTTTTTTAGGATTTCTTCGTCGTTTTAATTTCGTGCCCATTTTATTTTCGCTCTTCTTATTGCTATTTTGTAGTATTGTTTATGGTTATTTTAGGGTTTTTTTTTTCTTATTAAGGTGCAGTCCTTATCATACAAATGAATTACTAGTCAGGAGAGCATCACAAAAATTTATAATGTTTTTGTTTTGTTTTTTTTTAATTTGTTTAAGTAAACAAATTTTTATTTAAAATTTTGTTTACTCGCCTCGTTTATTATACAGAACAATTTCGATTATAGAGTAAACCAATATTACAAACCAATGGTTTGTAATGTAGTACTTTTGCCTTCAACAAGTGAAAATACTGGTCTTAAAAACAATCTAAGTATGTACGACATTATTGAAATTACTTTTATTGCCATACGAAAAACTTGCATATATTTAGGATGATGTAAAGAAAAATATTGAAAGGGCCGTTAACATAATGATTGAATTTAGCGGTTAATTGCGTGAGTTGCGAAAAATAATTATATCTTACGAAATAATTATATTATATGAAATAAACTATTTATTACTGTCTAAAAACTCTTAAATTTCAGATTCCTACAATCTGCGATCTAGAAGAAGAACGATATCAAAAATTTGGAAAAAACAGATTTTATATAACGGTAAATTTTAACGGCCACTTTTGTTTTTTAAATTCAAATGTGGTATGCAGGGGGGGAAGAAGCCAACTGTTATTTTCCTTCGTTTGCAAAATTTGAAAAATGCTTATGGTTTCGCTGCAATAAATAATTGAAAAATAGGGTTTTCAGGGTTTTTGGGGAGATAGGTAAAAATTTTCTTCTACGGAAATAGGTTTCTAAAAACGATCAATTTATAAATAAAATTTGATCTCTCTATCTTGAAGGCTGTAGACGTTTTGCAAACAGACACACGGATAGGCGCATGGACGGACGAACAGAATGAAAGTTATAAGTACTTTTTTTAAAAATTTTTTTCGAAAAATGCTAAAAAGAGAATTTTTTTTTTGGATTTTATTTTAAAAATTTCATTTTTTTTTATTTTAATAAAAAGCTTTCTTTTTATTTTTATTCCAAATAAATTTTCGGGTTTCTTTCGTTTTTTACTTATTTTTAGTTAAAAATACTCCGAAGACAAAAAAATGAGTTTAAAAAAAAAAAACAGAGGGAACAAAAACAAATGTAAATGCAAATGGAAAAGAGAGTGGGAATTTGTATAAGGAAGAGTAAAAAATGAGAGTAATAATAAATTTTTTAATGCAGCATTTGTTAAAATTTTTCAAATATTTACTTTATTTGTGCATTTACATTTGAAATGAATACAATGGGACGCATACGTGTAAATAATTGGACATTCTTGTAACAAATTTATTTAATCCTTGTTTTTCCTTTAAAAAATATGATTTTATAATTTTATTATTATATAATATTTTTTTTAAACTTTTATAATCTTCTTTTGATCATAGTTTTAGTTAATTTTAATGATTACTCCGTGAAATATGCAATAAAATAAAAAAAATAAAATTTTATGTAATTTTTTAATTTCAAGATTTGAAAGGAGGTCTGAAATGTAAAGTAGAAGGTAATTTTTTTAATGAGGGTAATTCAGATCAAGGGTAAATGGCAATTCGTTGAGAGTAGTTGATGCAATTTAAGTATAAAATTGCTACATTAATATTAAAAAGAAAATAATGAATTAATTTAAGAATATTTTTATAAAAATAACACATACACAATATTACAAAAAACAAGTACAATTTGAGGGTAATAAAATAATTACCTGTAAATCTCACAATAACGAATTTATTGCTATAAAGCAGAAAAATAAATTACGGTATTCAACATTAATTATTATTTGAAACTTATTCTTAACATTTGGAATCATAAACTGCATTTTATAGTCTATTGCTCTCGAATCAAAAAAAAGGGAAATGAAAGTTAATTAAAAGTATGAAAATTTGTTGAAAACCGTTATAATTTTTAATATATTTTTGTTTTATTAACTTAAAATAAATTATATATATTATTCACCTACCTACACCCAAACATATACTACGAATATATTTTTAATACACACATTCATGTATTTAAAACAGAAATGAATTTACCAATAAAACGTTTGAAAAAAAGGAAATTCAAAGTGAAACAATAATTTATTGAAATAATAATTTTAAATAAACTTTCTCATATTTTATTTCATTAATATTGTTAAGATTAATGTGAAATAACACTCAAAAAAAGGATTGTGAACAATATTATTAAAATAATATACTCTTTTTTTTACATTTTTTTATTAATTTTTCAGTTATTGAAATTTGTGAAATTTTATATGGTTATACTTTTTAACAATTTATATGAATATTATTTATATCAATTATTTATTTTATTTCATTTCAAATTTATCTCAAATGAGCCCAGCCGCCCGTACAGAGTATAACAGTTCAATATGAGTTTAGTAATTCAATTAAAAAATAAATTAGTAATTCAATCTAATCTGCTTACATAAAATTCATTAATTTGTGCTTTGGATTAGTAAATATTATTCAAATTCTTTATATCAGCAGTAATTCATTATAGTTTTTATATAGTATGCTAGATTGGATACTGAGTCGAACCAATTAAGACTTACTGTAGAAGTATTAATTCTGATATTTCTTCCACCCTTACTTTGGTAGCCATATACATCACATTTTATGAGAAGTTCAAATATCAGAATGTTGTTGTTTGTGAATCCTTGTAGTTGAAGTTCTTATACCTTATATCGATACAGATCTTTTAAAACCTTATTTTGTAATCTTTGTATCTTTTTTATATAAGCGTTGCCCCATATTTGAATAAAGTACGCAATTGTATTTTGAAATAAGCAGGAAAATTTTTCAATTGATCTTTTTAGTAATCATAATCTGCAACTCCATTCAATCGTTTATTCTTCGTAAATTCTCATTTGTGTCTTCCTCCAAATTTAAAGCCATTTTTTGTTAAATCCCGAACTAGCTTTGTTTAATTTAAACGTCGACCTCTTCATTTAACTACATTTAATTGTTTGTTCAATTATTAACATTTTTAGAAACTTGGCTAGAGCTTCATTATCATAGTATATTTTACCGTGATTATATTGCTTTAACAAATTTCTTTTAAATTTGTTAACCTTAAAACTATTCGCATTGAGTTAAATTTCTTCAAAATATCTATAATGCAGTAAAATGATCGAAAACTTGAATTATAAAAATTTTTAAATTCCAATACGGCATTTCATTACAGACGATAACGAAGAAATCAATCGCAACAAAAAACTATAAAAAAAAATAATAAGCTATCAAAAAACCCAAAAAAAATTGCAGTTAAAATCCTTAAAAAAAACGTTCAATTTTTTTTTGTTATAGAAAAGGATAAAGGATAATTCATATATTATAATAAAAATGTGATATGTGCATAATGCACAGGTATGCAAATTTTCAAATTTTTTTTATATTAATTTTTGTCAATTTCTGTTACACGGTGTATTGTTAAATACCTTTCCCTTTTTTTGTTTTAGAGTCTGATAGTAGTTGGAGTTTATTGAGGTTACTGAAAGGTTATAATAATGTATAGATATAGAATGTGATAGAAAATTGTATTGATAAATGCGAGATAAAAAAAATTACTACATAGTGTTACTGTTATTTTTCCAACATTATTGACTTATTATTTTCCTATTCTTGTTTTTATTATTATTGCTGTATATAGGTACTTGCATTATGTACATACACACATATGTAGATAAAGTACAGGGTACATGCTTATAAATAAAAATATTGTCAATATTTTGATGTTGTTATTGTTATATGAAAAAAAAAGGTGATGGTTGTCCTGCTGATGATGATGTTGATGAGGACATTGACAATGTTGATAGTGATGGCCGTCGCAATAAAAAAAAATAAAAAAAGAAATTTTGTTTTTCTTTTTTTTTCTTATTTCTTTATATTGTAATTTCTTTATATATTTTTTATTTTCATAGAAATATTATTGTGTTTATGTAATGTTTTTTATACATGTATGTTGTGTATGAGGCATTTTTTTTTGAAAAACTGTAAGTAAATAAAGTGGACATGAGTATACATCTACGTGTATGTACATATATAAACTATATATAAGCAAATATTTAGTGAATATGGTGATATAGACATATAAAGGGTGTGTAGAAAAATTTATGCTTAAAAATCTATGAGCATAAATTTTTATCGCTGACTGTAATTCTTCTTTTTTTGTTTTGTTAAATATTTTTATTTTGATTTTATTTTGGAAAATTTTATTATCCTTCAAATTCATTTGTATTTTTAAAATAAAAGGAAATATGATTTTTTATTTAAATTTATTACTTGAAAAAACTAGTTGCATAACATAGATAGCATGCAAGGGCTATGATTTCAAAATGGTGTCGAACTGGATATACTGAAATAGTTTATATATAAAACATACATAAAGCCGGTAGCTTTTGCAACTAAAAAAAAGTCTAACGAAATTTGAGTCCGATAAAAGTCTGCTTGACATCAATCTTATATTAAAACATCGTTCCACATCAAACTTTATATAGTATTCAAGCTGCTTTAGATTTTATACATTAATTCAGTAAAAAAACTTCAGCTTAATAAAAAATTTATTGTCATTTTGCGAATATATACGTTATAGTTTGTTGTTCCTACTTAACAATATTAGGTACACGTTATTCTAGAAAAAAAGCGATAGCAGTAATTTTACTTGAAGCATCATTACTTTGAAGGGAGTCGATTTATTTAAGAGTCGCAATTTATTTAAGAAGAGAAGCAAGAGTTTGTAAATTATTTCCTTTTCTTAAATCAAATATGACATATGAAAAAATGACAGAAACTCTGATCTGTCATTTGATTTAAAAAAAATGTTTTTTAACAAAATGAAAATTTTTTTCCCCTATGTTCCTTACAAAACAAATAAAATTTACAAAATTATACGAAGAAATAAAATGCAAAACAAAAAATTAAAAGCAAGAAATAAAAATGATAAAAAGAAAAAAAAATAAGACAATATAACGGTGAATAACAGTAAGAGATGAAAGAGATGGTGAAAGGAGAAAGAATTACGGATGTTTTCGTTTTTCATATTTTATTTTTTCCTTCCCTTTTCATCTTCTTTTATTTTATTCTTTCTTATTTTTGCAAATATTCAAAAATTATTTTTTCTCTTTTCTCATTATTACGAAATTTTTTTTTTGTTTATGAAAATATTGTCCATTTTCGTCCTAGCACATACAAACATGCACATAATATTATCGTATAAAAATTGAAAAATAGAAAAAAAAATAGTTATGTGTGGTAAAAGATTGGCTTAAAGGCGATTTTATCGTCATCGTTTCATCATCGCTATTTCTTGTTCTTAAGGATTCCATTTTGTATAAATTCATTTCGATTTTATTATTATACACTGCTTTTACATAATAATATGTATATAACAGTTTTTGTTTTTGGGAAAAATGTCAACGAAAATCATTTAATGCAAAATTTTTCTAATAGATAGTTTTGTATAAGATTTACGATTTAATCAAATTACTTAAGTGTAAGGCAGATTTAGGAACTATAAAATTTTAATTATTTTCAATGGTACTAAAATATTTCATATTGGAAGTAAAATGTCATTGTAGTTTTTATTCAATTACAATATTTTGATTTCAACTGCATTTAATGTGTATTCCAAATCAAATATGAATCGTTATAGATGTAACGTAATCGAACAATAATCCATTTGTTAAAAAAAACCTATAATACTCGTATAAAAAGTTTTACAGGACATGCAAGTTACATGAAAATGAGAAAATGAAATGCTGAGAAAATCACAAATTAAAATTGCCCCAAAATATGAATTTAAAAAAATTAAATTAAAAAAATTTTTTTCAACAATTTTCTTTGATTTTTCTTAACAGTCCTATAAAAAAAGGATGTGTAGGAGCAGGCAGAATATTAAAAGAAAATTTATTATATATTTCATTTTACACTGAAACTGAATGGAAATCACTAAAAAATGCATCATTTTTTTACTGATTCGTGTTGATACCAAAAGCATTTTTCGCTGCAAAATGCAACTCTACTGATTGCAAAAGATTAAATTTGTAGTAGTATGGATTCATCCTTGCATCGTCTTATATTCCATATATATATTTTCTTTTCTGTTTTTGGTATATTTTAAAGTATAATCAAGAAGTGAAAATTGTAATAATGTGAATGTGAAAAAGAAAGAATGAGAAGAAAATTTATAGTAGGAGAGATGCAAAAACTGTCAAATTAAATTAATATTGTTTTCATTTTGATTTTAATTTCTCTTTCTTTCCTTTTTATATTATGTTAATTGGAAATAAATATAAATATGGCAGATATTTATAATTTTTATAAGATAGAAAAATAAACTCCTTTCATACAAAAATCTTATTAATGTATTTTGTAGTTATGTGAGTAAATTAACAATACAAAATTAACTAATAATAAGATGTAGGATTATACAGAATTATCAAGTACGTTTTATGGGACGCAAGCGAAACTATCATATTATTTTGATAAATTTCTAATCGGAAAACGTAGTGTTTTTAATAATATTCAATCACTAGTTTTTGAGATTTAAACAAATAGCTTTTAAACAAATAGTCTTCTTCTTCTTCTCTCTTTGCCTTTGTCTCTTATCTGGGGTCAGGTCGCCTTGTCCTGCCTCTTCAAGAATTCCTATTCTGTGGCGTCAAATTTGTGGTGCTAAGCCATGTGGCGGTTGGTCTTTCCCTACTTCTCGTTGGTTCATCGATATTGAGTGCGGCTTTCACGATATGGTCCTCATTTATTCTCATTATACGACCGTACCACTTTAATCTGTTTTCTTTTAATTTTTCAGTGATTGGAGCAACTTTAAGACCTCCTCTGATATATCTGATTGGAGATATAAGACCTCCTTATTTTATCTTTGAGTGTTACACCACTGGACCATCTGTGTGTCCTCAGCTCGGTAACATGCAATTTTTGTACGTGTTTGCTGTGCGTCGTTAATAATTCATAAGTATACATTCACAGGCCTGATTGCTATTTTGTAAACTTTTTCCTTTATTTGAGGAGGTATTTTTTTATTGCATAAAACACCCGTTAGGCTTTTCCATTTTATCAAACTAGCGTTCACTCTATGCTTGACTTCCTCATCGATTAATTGTCTTCAATCAAATTTGGCTAAGCTATAGAACAAATTTTAGTATAATCATAATATACACAAATATTAATGGAAATATACTCGTATACGTCAATATTAGAAACGTTGTCCTAATAACTATGGAAATTTTTTTGCAATATTTCTTACATTATATACTTAAGTATATGGTAAAATCATAATAATTAGAGATTATGAGAGCCATTTATATTGTGAATATCATGCTCGCATACATACACATATCTGAAATCATTCAAATTATGCTAATATTAATTTAAAAATAATCAAATTTAATTCGAGTCCTTCATTTTTACTTTTTTTTTTTTGTTTTTTTGAATTTCCGCTAAAAACATTCAAATTTTTGAATCAATTGTTTTCTATTTTTTTCCTCTTTTTTTCTCAATTTCAAATGAAATACATATTTTTAAAGAGAATGAGTTGAGTAATAATATGGCGTACATATGATTAATGTTGAAATAAATTGAAAACATTTGATAAACAGTTAAAAAAAATATAATAAAAATGTCCTCTCCCCGCCATTTAAAGACCTACATGCTCATATAATAATATCACTCATTGGATTTCATTAGAGAGAGGGAAAAAAATGTTGTTTTTTTTTTTTAAATAATTATAAATTTTCTATTGTTAGAAGAAAAATTTTTGCTATGTATGTATATCATTTGTATATCGTAATGATTTAAAAAAAAAATGTTCAACAAGACGACAATAATAAAAAAAAATTCAACAAGATTTTTTTTTTAAATAAAGCTATTTTCATTATTTTGTTAAAAAGTTAATTAAATATAATTGTTTATTATATCCTTTATGTGTTATAACATTATAACATTATTATTACAATATGTTATTATAAAAATAATGAAGAGAATGCAAACATGCACACATATGAATATATGAAAAAATTGTATATAGAAAAATTTAATGTAAAATGGAACAGTGCTTGTCAAAAATCAAAAAAAAATTTTCTTGGAAATTCTGTTAAGTATGAAGGAATATTGTTAGAATATTTCCTTAATTATCAATTTTTTTTCGCATATAATTTCAAATATATATCACGAATATTAATAATACTTACAAATATTTCAATATTTTATGAAGTACTAATAGCTAATACAAGGCACTAGGCCAGTTAGATAAATTATCCTTAAGGAAGAAAACAAATTGATTCATTAACAGGAGCAGGGAAAGTACATAATTATAACAAATTTAACCAATATTATATAAAATTTTGAAGCAATCAGCTGTTTTTTTATTATTGAATGACAATTGGAAAATGGCACATTTGACTCAGAAAATGTTTCTCAATTTCAGGAGGGCAAAAATAATATAAATATATATTCCTTGATGTATAAATTTTAAGACTTCAATTTTATGGTTAATAAGGCAAATTCTACTTTAGGTTTTGTCATGAGGTGGATTAGGGAATTTAATGATTTTAGGTTTGTTCTTTTCTTCAAATGGTGGGATGTAGCGTAACGTTTCAGTCGTTTTCCTCTTCGTGGTATGGATTAGTCGGACCCTTATGAAAGTAGGATTCAGTTTTTGTAATTAGGGTTACTTCGTTGTGGTAAGTTGGTTTCTGATATAGTTTTCATTCATCATTTTGTAAGGTGAATTATGGTTGAGCATGAGTAAAAGGGTGCAAGGCTTTACAGTAGCATTGATTTTGTTGAATTTATTCTTAATTTAGGTTACGCTTTCTATTACCTTGTCGTACAGTAGTTGTGTACGTTTGATTTCGGCCGTTTAATTTTTAATTTACTTATTAATATTATATTTTTTCCTCCCCTTTTCTCTTTATTTTCTCTTTCCATCTGTAAATTATGACGATTTTAGTCTTAGTTACTGAGAGCTACATTTGGTGGCTAAGTCGTAATTATTTTGCTATGCTAAATGCTTTTACTAAGCAATCGTCTGACTTAAAATTGTGCACTGGGTATTAATATTCATAGACGTTCACATATTTTTTTATTATGTTGGAAAAAATAAGGTGAGATTTTAAGTTTTTAATAATATCTACTTATCTATCTAGACTCATCAGTAATAATGTGCTTTTTATTCTCTTGTTTTCTTTTTTATAGTTCATTTAAAAAGGATAATAGATTCATAATAAAGGAACAAAAATGTATATATATATATATATGTATACTATAAACACAATCGAATGACTGACGGAACAATTATAATTGTACATGAATTCATAAGTTACCTTTTTACTCTTATATTACCATTATTAACATTTAATATTTTTTTTTTGTTTTTTCTTATATAATCAATTTGAATGATTTTTTATCAACCTCATTTTTATTTATTTTTATTTTTTTTTTTGAAATTTAATTTAGTATTATTATGTATATATTTTTTTTCTATTCTTTATTCTATTAATTATACAGAAAAAGAAGGATAATTGAATTAAAAATGACAAAATAACAAGGTAAAAACAAGAAAAAATCAAGAAAAAATTACTAAAATAAAAGGACATTATTATTATTCTTATTATTATTATTTTTTTGTTTATATTATGTGACATAATTAAATTGTCATTTGAATAGATAAATAAATTAAAATGGATGTATGTGAAAGAAAATAAATAATAATTTTCATAATAATGTGCAGCAGCGCTATACACTTATGATTACTGTCAATTCAATTGTCTTCTGTTATAATTAATTCAATTCTAAAATAATAATGATTTTATATTATTGATTTAAAAATATAAATGACAAACATACACCAATCCAATAATTCTGCGATGCAATTCTGTTAAAATTATTTGATGAACAATATTTTTGTAAATTGGTGTTTAATGTGTTAAAATTTGTTTTTAACCCAAAGGAGAGAAATGATATACTGAATATGTGTGCAATATTGATATTTTTTGACACATTGAGATAATTTAATAAAATTGAGTCAAACGAATGGTTGAGTCAAACGAACTGTAGCACTTTTCGCTTCAACAAGTGAAAATAGTACTTTTAAAAACAGTCTATGTAGCTTACATTATTAAAATTGCTTTCATTCGTATACGAATATATTACAAAAATTGCATACATTTATGATGAGCAATATATACAATCTTTAAAATAAAACAATATTGTAGTGAGTTAAGAAAAATATCCATATTTTGTAATGGCATAGCATCTACAGTTAGCTTTCTGAATAAATGAACTATTTATTAGTGTCGAAAAGCTGGTTAAATTTCAGACTCCTGCAGCTTATTGGCTAGGAGAAAAACAATATCAAAAATTTACAAAAAACGGATATTAGATAGCGGTTAATATTAACAGCAATTTTTCTTTTTAAAATTTATATATTTAAAGTTTCGCAGTAAAAGAAGTTAGCCAATTTACTGCAATTACAAAATTTGAAAAATGCTTATAAATAGTAAAAAATTTGTTGTAATAGTAAAAAAATAGTGCGGGCGGGATAGATAATGTATTTCTCCAACAGAAATAAGTTTGTAGTAAAGATCTATGCACATATGACATCTCAGCTTTTTATCTTCAGTTTTGTAAACATGCCCACGGATGGACGAACAGAGTGAAATTAGCAAGCATTTTTTTTCAAAAATTTTCTGAAAAAGTGCCAAAAATGAAGAGAACAATTATTTGCATAATTATAACGATTATTTATTTCAAATATATACTAAATTAAAATTTTAATCGCATATGATCTCAGTTGAGCACTAGCATAAGGTATTTAAATTGGTTTTTTTTTTTTAATCTAAGACTCGTCTTGTCTAGCAATTATTACAATAACAATTTAATTATTGTTAATATTGACCGATACTTATATACGTATAAATGTAGCTGTGGAAAAAAATATGTAATATGACAATTTTTTTGAGAATTGCATTTAGAAATATTTTAATTAGTAAGAACTTTTCTGATGTAAAATTTTTGCAAGCATTGAAGCAAATTGGTAATATTTAGCTGTTTCATTAGATGAAAATAGCGACTTGGATTTTAGGATCCATGGCATAAAGATTTAGTTGCATTCCCACTATAAAGTAGTTTTCAGTGCTTGTTGACTTCAACGAATGATTCACAACATTAAGATACAAATTGAATTACAATTTTAATTTTAAATTACAAAAATACTTAATAATTATTTTTTTAAATTTTTATTCTAGGAACCTGATTCTGATGTTGAAATACAACAACCACAACAACAGCAACAACAATTACATGAACAACATAAAATACATTCCTTAAGTCCGCCCAATAATAATATTAATAATAATAATAATTTATTAACAACTGAGGATAGAGAACAAACTTTAGAATTTTATAAAAAATTGGCAAATAATAATAATAATAATAACAATAATAGTAACAATAATAACAACAACAATAATAATAATAATAGAACTTTATCATCATCATCATCATCATCACCACCACCACCATCATCATCCCAACAGTCATCACATGAGAAAACGGCGGCGCAAAAAGTTGAAGCATTAGCTGTAGCAGCTGCTGCTCAAGCACATTTAAATGGAACCAGTGAGTACATATCGATATCCAATTTAAATTTCTAAAATATATACATATATATATGTATGTACATTTTGTATATTTTTATGTTTGTATTATATTTTTTGATTTATATTTTATTTACTTGATTTTTTCCATATGTTTCATATATTCTTATATATATACGTATATATACACGTATAATTTATATTTTTTGAAACTTTTTCTTTTTTTCATAATGTCTCAATGAGGTAGACGTTCTCATACTTTTACTATAAGTAATACTTTAGTACATAGATTATTTGTAGTGTAACTTCTTTCAGTATCACTATATTGTATACCCGTGTATTATATGCTGTATGCATTGTGTATAATGTTCAATACACGGGTATTTATATACATATGTACAATTTCAGTTTCAAATTAAAGTTCTTATTTTATTATGTTATGCTATCAGTTTGTGTACTACCATTAATCTTATCATAAATTAACGAGCACCCACCAAATATCCACCAAATATTTAATATGCAAATGTAAGAGAATTTCTCATACTCTGATTTTCTCTTAAAAAATCTTCAACTTCTGAGCAAGCAGTTAGAGTTTATACGAGTAAACGATTGGGAATGAGATTGGAGAATATTGTGACTGACCATCGTTCTAGATTCGCTTTATGAATTTTCTTTTTTATTTTCTTTTTTTTTTTATTATTGTTATTTTTTTCTTTTTCTCCACATATCGCAATTTTCTCATGTATAAATTTAATTTTCTTTTGTTTTTTCAATATTTTTATTTCGATTTTTTTGTTTTTTTATTTCTTTAATTCCCAATACACAAATTTTTTATATGATTTAATGGTTAAAAAATAAAAACAATAAGAACAGAACAAAAATAATCGGTTGAGATAGAGCAATGAATTCTATACAGCATAGCAAATAAATATAGTAAGAACGAGGATGAAAAAAAAATCTCTGATTACTTCTTTTGTTTCGATAATTGAAATTTACCTTCATTGGGTTCCTTTTTCGTTTTATTTTTCCTCTTTTTGGCATGTTATTATTATTTTTTCACTTTCCTATGAGTTATTTAAATTTTTTTTTTTGTATTATGAAAGGATAATAAGAAGTTTGAAAAAATCCTGAATTATTGAAACTTTTCAATTAACTTAATGATGATCTATGATATATTATGGGGCGATGGGTACACTGAAATTACTTTTTTTTTCGGTTTTTTCTTACTGTCTTTTTTTATAACTTGAAACAACAGGATACCTCGCTAAATTTTAGTTTGTTTTTTTAATTTGTTTAATCTTCATTTATTTAATTTGCAACAGATACTTATTAGATTTTTTTAAATTTTTTATTCAAATTTAATTATTAAATTATTTAATGAAGATGTTTGCAATTATTTTACTTGTAAAAAAGAGTATTATATTCGGGTTTTTAATAGATTGTAGAAGAAATCGAGATTTCAATTATTTGTAGTCATTGTCTATGCAAATATCTAATTCAAAATACATACTGAATAATGGGCGATGGTATCTCAACATTAATTCTACATACATAAGTAATAATTAGAATACAAAATAATTTATGTATTTTATTAAATAAAATAACGAAATTCATGCAAAAGCAAATTATCTGAGCAGCAACAAAAACTTAAATCACTATTAAATCTTACTATAAAACAATACAAAATTCCCATAATATGAATATAAATGTTATATGAAATACCCATAGTGAAACCTAAACTAATTTTTATGTTATCCTTTCTCATTTTAATGACATAAATTTACAAATTACCTATATTAAGCTTCAAAAACCATTTCTATAAAAATTTTCAAAATTTTTGTTTCTCTTTCTTATTTTTCATCATTCATTTTTTATAAAATAAAGTATACATGTATAAAATTAATCCCTATTATTAAATTCTAAAATATAATAATATGTTTTCTTTTTAATTTAATCCTTACTCTAATACTCACATATAAAATATAGTGCAAGACATGATAAATTTGCAAAAGTTACAAAATTTTGCATCTCTACAACAACAACAGTTACAAGAACAACAAAATCAACAGCAACAACATCATCAATCGCACTCTTCGGTTCCAACAGCAGCAGCACTTGCAAGCCTTCAAGGATTAGCTGGTATATCATCTGCAGTAGCATTAAATTCACCTTTAAATTTAAGTGTTGGTTCTACATCATTATTAACATCATCAACATCATCATCATCATCTGGAAATCCAAAATTATCACAAAATATTGGTGGCAATATTGGTTGTGGTAATGGTAATGGAAATACAAATACTCCTTTAACATTAGGTGGTGTTGTCGGTTCTGGAGTTAATAATGTTAATAATTTAGTTGGTTGTAATTCACCTAGTGCTGGTATACAACAAATGCCACAATTAATATTAGCATCAGGTCAACTAGTTCAGGGTGTACAAGGAGCTCAATTATTAATCCCAACGTCACAAGGTATATTAATTAAATGTATATGTATTTAGATATATAAATACTTATATATTTTTTTTAAATAGAAATTAATAATGAAAATGTTACTTTTAATTATAATTACATATATCTCTATTTTAAAGAAATTTTTAAAATGTAACACCAAGGATATTCAATTTATTTTTATTTTATTATCATATATATTATAGGTATATCCGTACAAACGATTTTAACGATACCCGTCAGTCAACAAATTAATACCAACGAACAATTTTTACAAAATTATTCAGCATTGAATGCTAGTGCAGCTGCATTTAATAATTTAAATTTGAGTGCACATCAAATACCATCAATACCTTCAGCTCCTAATAATTTATTAAAACCGAATTTTTTCCCTACTGGTGTACAACAATTATTAGCTGCATTACATCCGCAACTATTTCAAAATACTGGAAATTTACAATCATCAGTAGCTGATCAAGTTAATCAATCAGCAGCAGCTGCTCATCAGGTACAAATGGCTCAAGAACAACAACAAAAAATGTTACATTTACAACAACAGCTTCAAAAACACCAACAACATCAACAACAGCAGCAGCAGCAACAACAACAGCATATGCAGCAACACAAACAATCACAGCAATTACAAAATACAGTACGTCAACAACAAAATGATGCACCATCTCCAAGAAATGATGTTATGTCAAATCAAGGTCATTTATTAGATAGAAGCATGACATCTGCTATACAAATACGTACGACACCACATTTAAGCCCAAGTGCTCAACATCCCAAAGAAAGTCCATCACAGTTATCATCAGCATCATCATCTGGAGGTGGTGGTGCTGGTGGAATGGGTCAAACTTCTTCAAGTGTTGCTGCTGCTATTGGAAGTGGTCAAAATTCTTCGACATTAGGTTTTAATTTATCGCAACATGATAAATCACGTATAACTGGAACACCTCCAAATACATCATCAAATAGTTATTCATCACCATCCGGATCTCAATTATATCGTAGTCATTCACCTAATGGTCATCAAATGGCATCATCAACTTCATCAGCTTCACATAGTTTAAGTAGTCAAATGAATCCGAATGCGACATGTGTCCTAAGTAACATCAATAGGTGAGCAAAATGTCTGTGTTTCTGAAAAAAAATTCAATATTATTTTTATGCTAAACATGATTTCTTTTTTTCTATAAAATTTATACTTGTAATCCTGTTCTTCAACATTATGTAATGATATGTGTATAGATTAACATCATCAAATGGTGAATTAACGATAACAAAATCACATGGTCCAACAAGACATTCATCACCATCACCATCACCAGGTCCAATACATAGTAGTCATCATAGTAGTAGTAGTCATTTACATCATCATCATCATCATCAGCAACAACAACAACAACAACAGCAACAACATCAATCTTCATCATCAATGAAAATGAGTCCAAATTCAATACATCAAATGTCGCCAACTAGAACTGAAACATCGACAGCAGATTTATTACTTGATTCGCCAAGTAAGTATGGGTACCGTATTGTCATGAAATTGTTATTGTTATTAATCTTAAAAATATGCTGCAACTTAATTAGACCTAATTGGATGTAAATTTAATTTTGAGTTTTTGAGTTTATTTTTCAAATGTTTTTGTTTATTAAATAATTTTTCTTTTATCAATTCATGTATACAAATACGTACATATACGAGCATTCTGGGCATTATATATTGTACACTCACTGGAAAATTTATATACTCATGCTACTTAAATGTTGAGTAATATTGAAATATATATGTAATTTTGATTTTGTTCAAAGTCCTTATAAATATAGGATAATTTATGGTTGCAGAGAAAAATTGTTATCCATACATTTTTGTTATCCATTTAAAATACTTAGTTTACATAGAGAATATTAGATTTTAGATAACAATGGCGAGAATGAGAATAACATTGAATATTGTTTGACATTTTTAGAATGTTTTCTCTACAAATTTGCCAGGTTTTTATGTTTAAGTGATTGTATGTGTCATAGTTTCGCAGTTTGGCAATTTTTTATACTTTTTTACAGTAAAAATTTATAACTTATTCAGCTTCCCTTCAATTATACAACTTTAGGTATAATTGTTTAATATTATTACAATACTAAGTTTATTCTTGTTATCACGTTCTAGTGTACCTATTTACTCACTGGTTCGTTAAAGCAGACAGGTATTAGAACATTTTTCCTGTAATACTTACTTTTATTACGAGTAATTGTCTTTGTAAAATATAAAACACTCCAAAATTGTATACTATGCTTAACAATTTTTCTTCAAAGAAATTTTGTGTAGACGAAAAAGTGTTGTTCCTTAAACGCGAAGTAATAATATAGTAAACTTTTAATGCGATCCTTTAATTTATTGTTGATGTTATTATCTGTTTTCAAATTAATTTCTAAAAATAAGCTTTAAAAAACCTTTAATTTCAACATACGCTTCAAGAATTCTCTTATCGTTTTCACAGTAATTAATTTCTCATTCTCAACAAAATTCTATATGAATATTTTTTAACTTTCATTAAATTTTCAAATTAAATTTAATAATAATTTTCTATTTATAACTACATACATATAGTATAGCTGATCCCTATCATTATTCAATCTCCACAAAGAATTCTAATAAAATTCATAATGCAATTAAAATTTATATAATATATAATATCTAACAATATAATATACAATACTACAAAATAGCAATAGGTAATTATACATAATTATACATTCATTAATTGGGATTATTTACACAATTTACTCCTACATACCATACGGCGATGAAAATATATAGAAAATATAAAAATATATATATATACATATATTCAAAGAAAAGAGAAAAAGAAAGGAAACAAGAAGTAGAACACAAACAACCTAAAATGTCATTCTTGACATGCACTAATTATGCGAACAACAGGCAAACAACCAATATTCGATTATGTAATTAAATATGCATTATACCGTCAATTAGCTCGCTAATTATAATTGTTCTATACTATAACATCATCTTATTTAACTTCTATCTTATTATATATTATATTGTATAATATGTTTATGTGTATAACAATATTATATTTCATTAGTGTGGTATTAAAGAACCACTCATTGATGAAAAAGTTAATTTTCTATATCGTGTTTTCTAAGTAGAGGAAAATTTCATTCTATTTTTTCTTTTATATTTTTATGTTGCTTCATATAATAGCAGTTCCTTCTTACCTTTGTGATATTAAAGAGTAAAATTCTTTGAATTTTCTTATAATTTTAAATTATTTTTTGTTTTTCATTTCTTCATTATTTTGTGTTTTTAAAATATTGTACGGTTCAAAAAAAAAAATTGCGAACATTCTATCTTATAATAATCAAATGAAATCCAAACTTACATAACAATAATGTATTTTGGTTATTCATTATGTATATGTACATATATACTATCATTTTATTATAATAATCTTGCAGACACAATTTTTACTCAAGAAAAACAGGATGAAATCTGGATAATGTTCTATTTAAAAATTTTATTAGAATAATATTAAAATTTAGTTAGAATTTCGAACCAAATTTTTTACCCAATTATCAATTTGATTTCTTTGCTACGAACAATGTATAACTAACTTCCATATAAGATATACTCGGTTTCGCTGATTTATTACAATACAAATTATTCTGTATCATAAATTTGTTTACATTCTGTTATCAATTTTATTATTAAAATTCTTAAAAATTTCTCTTCAATATTATTATCATTAATTTATATGAAAAGAAGAAAATTTGGATTTGTGGTTTCATTTTCGTAAAATTGGAAAACCAATTTTATAAAATTTAATAAAATTAATTTTGCAATACAGGAAATTGATTATTTTTAAGGACAATATTATTATGTCACTATAAAATATAATTATAATTATAAATATTTCTAAATCTTACGTACCCAATATGAATAATTGTATTCTAATTATATTAGAATTTTAAAATTCAATTTTCTTACTGAAATTTTATTATGGAATTTCTTAAATTAGCAAAAGAGTTTTTATTACAAAATTGCATATTTATTGGCACAGGAAATTATTTATAGCAGGCTACAAAAAATGTAGTGATTAGGTTCAATATTTATAAATATAAAAGTATTAGATTCGAAATTTCCCCGTCAACGCTTCAGTTTTTAAAAGTCTCTATTATTATATAATCACTCTATACAGTTTTATCGTATAACAGCTATTATGATAAAACTATATGGAGTGGTGCAATTTTATACGGAAGTGAGTTTATGTGAAAAACAAATCCCTCTAGAAATCTTCAAAAATTACCACTTCTACAAATTGCTTCAGCTCCAAAAAATTTACAGCTCCTCAAATTTTTTCGGAAATCACTAAAATTTTTTTAATTTTCTGCAAACAAAGGGAAATAGCAAATGGTTCCTCAAATCTAAGATTTTCAACAACAAATAAGCAATTTCTATAAATTCATAGCAACAACAGTAAATTCTTAACAGTTAAAGGGTTTTTAAACTTTTCTTTTTTTATGGTATGCAGTTTGACAGTTTTGTTCTTAATGGTAGGCAGCTAACAAAGAGACACATAACATTTTACCATAACTCAAATCTCATGCAACTTGGCTTGTTAAGTAATAATATTTTAATTACTGATTAAAGCAGCAATATAAGAGATTTTCATAAACGCAATACTGCAAAACAATTACAGCAAATAGTAATATTTCAAAATCATAACGAAATAGATTTGCAATTTATTTTTAAATATTCTATAAAAGCGAAACTATTCATATTATTTAACTGTACTACTCATAATAATTTCATTGTTGTGGTCATCTTCAGCTAATCAGCTGGCTGATATCTAAATGTTGCTAATTAAAATTAGCAACAAATTGTTTAGGTACACAAATTTAACGCAGTTTTCAATTTATATCGCGTAGTCCTTTTGTTTTGTAACATAAAAAACTAATTAAGTAATTATATAATTTACATTTTTTCATTATCATACTATCGTCCAAATATAATAAATAACACCCCCCTTAATTACTTTATTCATTCGTTTTTTTTTTGTGATCCTTTGTTCCTTCAGTGTGTTATATTTCTTTTTGTTTTTTGATACTTCATTAATAATAAGGTAATCAAACTAATTGACCATGCACATATTATTATTATAGTTATATGCATTATTGCATATTTGAAAAATTTATAACAAATTACGATCAATAAATATTTTTTATAACAAGATAGTTAGTTATTATAATAGTATAATTTATAAGAGTTTTAAATTATGAGTAATGTGTCATATTGATCAAAAGGATTACCTAGTCATACAATATAATACATGTATATTATGCGTGCATATAGTTAGAATAAACGTGAATTGTTCTTTAGAGTATTCTACTTAAATAACTAACATTATTAAAAATCAATAAAAATGATGATTAATTTTTTGCAATAAAAAATAATAAAATAACATGCAATTTTCTTTATATAATAAAATTCTAATATTTAAGTACTATAATATAAGTAATAGGTAAATTAAAGTTTACCTTATTTCATTAAAATAATAGTTAGTTAATATAAAAGGAGTATATAAGGTATGCACAAATGATTAATTTAGAAATTGAAAAAAAAAATAAAGTTATGGTGGACGCCCTTATTACTTTTCTTTTTCTTTTTTATTGAAAACTTATTAAAAATTCAAAGAAATGCATTTCATTTTTAATTTATGAAAGGATAATATCGGAAAATGTTATTAGATGACATACAAAATATTTTCTTTTTATAGAAAGAAATGCAATCAATAGTAAATAATTACTGCTTATCAGAATATGTGTGTGTTTAGATTGTAGGTCATAATTTATTGTACATATTTATTTATTATTTAATATTGAGATAATTTTGAATCATTATTGTTAGAAATGATTATAGTCCCGTATCTGACATGTTCAGTACCCTAAGCAGTCTCTAAAATGTGTCCCCAAAACTTTCAAATCAATGAACAATATACAGCAAACATTGTGCATTGTGCATAATAAATCATTCTCTGCTAAATTTAACATTCTGAATGCAAGAATGGTTGTAGAATTAAAGCTTGGAATTAAAGTTTCAGCTTTGCTGTAAATGAAAAGAAAAAAAATTTTTGTTGAAATTTTCAATGGCGCCCGCTTCTGTTTACTGGCGTTCATTGCAAATGCTCACATTGCATATATGGTAGATTTGGCGCTGAATGGTTATTTAGAATAATATATGAATGTCATATATTCTTTTCAAGATGGAATATTAGAATTTTATACACGAATATAGATGTATGCAAGAAACTCATTTCTCTAAAAGAAAAATTTTATCTGCCATTTCGCTTTCAAAACCTCTAACATCTCAAGATCATAAAGGTACAATTTTAACGATTTCTGTTGAAATAAATTATATTTTGACAATATCGAATCCACTAATATTTGTTAAATTTCACAAATGCAGAGAAATAGCAACTTGATTTTTCTATTACTAAAAACAACAGTCAAACATTAAAATCAACCGTACAATTATCTCAAATTTATTTTTTCATTTTGATATCATTTTTCTCTTAAACGCTAAATTGAACAAAATCTAAAACTTTATCAGGTTGCAGATATAAGTTAGTAGTTTATTTTGTTGGGACAAAATGTTTATCTACTTCGTTCCTCTTCGAAGCTATCGTTTCTCAAAATTAACCAAATTTCAATTTTCGACTTTCTAATATTTTTAAACTGCTAGGCTTTTCCAAATTTCTATAAAATTAAAGGTAAATGCTTAAATACATCAAAAAATTATAATAATGTATCTATAATAATTTAGCTTAACTCATCTAATAAACTATTGAACTTCATCATTATGTTAATGTTAATGTTATTTATTAATTTTTTTCATTCCCCCAAAAGCATGCAATTTTTTTCATAAATTGTAATTCTGGTATAGCTTGTTAAAGGGAACGATGTAACAGACAAAGTAACAGACTTTGCTGCGCTAAATTTATTTAACAGGGTATTTTTTCTGACAGAATTTTTCTTTTCAATTTAATTTATTTAACGCTTCAATTTAATTTACTTAATTTATTCCCAAATTTGCGTAAAATGATTTTTTAAGTAGATTTAAAATTGTGTCTATCAAATATTTTTTTCTCTGAAATGAGTCTATGTAGCCAAATGGTTTTTGAAATAAATTAAAATGCTTTCGACATTATGAATCACGTTTGAATCAATGGTCTTGAGTTTCTTTAATTTCGCAAAGTACTATCAAGTTGTATGATATAATTTCGTATGAATTAAGACGACTTGTCACGTAGCTCAATCAAAATTTTATTATAATTTTTTATTTTATTTCAAAATTAACCAAAAACTTTTGTATTGCACTGTTACATTTGTATGTACTGAAACGAGCATATCAAAATTTATTGTACCCTTCTTTGTTTTTGTGTTATAGATGAACCAACAATTAATCAAGCAACATGTAATGTTGTCGATGGCATTGATTTAGATGAAATAAAAGAATTTGCCAAAGCATTTAAATTGCGAAGATTATCATTAGGATTAACACAAACACAAGTTGGTCAAGCATTATCGGTAACAGAAGGACCAGCTTATAGTCAAAGTGCCATATGCAGGTAATTAAAAAAAAAATTAATTTTAATATTAATTTAAAAGTGATAAGATATTGCTAAAAGAATTTTCAAAAGAAAAAATAATTAAATTGGGCATGCATTCAATCTATTGGGTTATCTTTTAATTTTAATGAAAGAAATTAATTATTAAATTCAAAATATTATTTTTATAATAATGAGAAGAATTACAAATCAAAAATATTTAAAATGAAAATATATTTACCTTTACTAATATAAGAAAAAAGGTTCACAGAATAATTTATTTAAAAATTTACAAGTAGTTTAAACAAAAATTGTAATATTTTTGCAAGTGTCTTATTTTTCGAACTCTTACTCATTTAAAATGTTACAAATTTTTATATAGCTAATTTTAATTTTAATTTAAAAAAAAAAATTAATTTCTTAGTGCTCTTCTTCTTTTTATTTATTTTTCACTTGTTTTTTTTTATTTAAATTTTGCTTTTCGCCTGACGTTATGTAATGTTCATTGTTAATATAGGCAAAAAAAAATAAAGCTAATTTAAAAGGCAAAATACTTTCAGCGCCAGGACATTTTCAAAAAAAAAAAATAATTTTATTTTTTCCTTGTTTTCAATTTTTAATGTCATAAACTTCTTCTATTAACAAAATTTTTAAAAAATTAAAATATGCAAAAAATTAAATCATTTTTTTTTAATTTAATTATTTTCTTTCTTTTTTTTTATTTAATTTATTCAACTTTTGTCGGAAAACTCCTTCAACTGATTTTTAAAAATTTTTAATAAAAATTTTGAAAAATAATTGGGAAAATGAAAATTTAAAAAACCAAATAATTCTGAAACAAATTAACGAATGGATTACCAACCAAATACGCTGTAACTACACAACAACAACAATAACTACATCAACAACAACAACAATGCAATATGTATTTCAATATACCGTGTGTGCCTGCATGCCGTCATTAAAAATATTGTACGATCGATCGATCATCGCATTTATAAATTTGATTGCTGTCAAAATTCATTTTTGTTAAAAAAAAAAAAAACAAATTTTATTTTATTACAATATTTGAATTTCAGCGCTCTCGCTGCACAGATGTATGCTGCTCAGCTGTCAACACAACAACAGAACATGTATGTCTGAATTGAACTTTTCTTATTCTCTTTTTTGTTTTGTTTTTTTTTGTTTCGTGTTGGTTGTTTCTCTTTTTCTTGTTTTAGATCTCTATTTGGTTTACTCTTCTTTTTTTTTCTTCTTTTTAATTTTTATAATTTTTCCCTTTTTATTTTTATATTATTGTATATATACAGAGAGAGAGAGAGAGAGACAGAGAAAAAAAAACTATTTAATTATTAACAATAATTGAGTTCAAAAAAATTAAAAAATAAATAATAGCAAAATTTTGTTTATATGTATGTAATTATTATGATTGTGCTCCATATTGGCCAGGGACATTAAATATAGAAAATAAATTCAATTTTATTACACATTTATTTTTTTTTACATAAAATTTTCAATGATAAAAAAACAAAAAAAAAATTTTTTTAATTATTGAAATTTTATTTTATTAGATTTTTTTTTGTTTTTGTTTTTTAATATTAAATTTTATTATAATTTTTTGTTTGTTCTCGTTTTTTTGTTTTTTTAGTATAACAAATTTTTTTAATTGGTTATTGGCTTTTTAAGCTTTTTTTAATGTCCTGGCACTGTTGTTGCACATTCATATTTTTAAAATTTATAGAATAAAATTAGAATTAAAAAACATGTGGGAAAAAATGAGAAATGTAAAATATTTTGCATAATGCAAATGATATGAATATTATGAATTGAAAATAATTTACATAATTATTGCATTAGGGCAATAATTATGGCTCAGAATTCAACAAAATTAATTCACTGCATTACTTTCCTGTAGGAGTTTTGTGGTATTTGACCCGAATGAATCTGTAATCTATTTCATTCATCTATTAAAATTATACTACTGAACAAGTCAAATTATCATTATATCTGAATTTTGATTTACGTCCAACACTCTTGTATCAATTAGATGAATGAAATAGATCATCAAATATCAATTGTAAGTGACATTATTGTGAAATGTAATTCGTGAACATTCACATTTTGATTTAAAACAAGAAGTTTTCAATTTCAATAAATTTAATCTACGAGCATTCGTACTAGTTTAATATAATACTAATGTAATTTTTTTTATACATTATTGAATTAAATTTGCATTCAGAATAATAGGATGTTAAACATATATTTTTTCAAAAAAAAAAAAAACTAAAAAAGTAGTTTTTCATTTAGAAATAAATTGAACTCTAAAATTTATAAATTATTTTTAAATTTTATTCTTATCTCCATTTATTTTTTGTTTTATTCTAACTTTTTGTAATTTAATTTAATAAACATTTTATATAATATTTATAATAATGTACAAAAAATATGTATGTATCTAATTACTAACTATTTTTTTATATCCAAATTATTAGGTTTGAAAAACTTGATATCACTCCAAAAAGTGCTCAAAAAATTAAACCTGTTCTTGAACGATGGATGAAGGAAGCTGAAGAAAGGTAAATATTTTTTTTCTTTTAAATATCGAGGCGTAGAACAATAATTTGGAATAATTAGAAGACAATAGAACAATAATTTGACATAAAATAGAACAATAATTTGGTATAAAGCACTCAAAATTTAACAATTTACAATCAATATCAAAAACAATATTGAAAATTTTAATCCAATATAAATTTTTGATTTATAATAATTCCTTTAATTTTGTTTTTAACTATTATAGTCATTGGAATCGTTATAAAACTGGTCAAAATCATTTAACTGATTTTATTGGTGTCGAACCATCTAAAAAACGAAAACGGCGAACATCATTTACACCACAAGCTTTAGAATTATTAAATGCTCATTTTGAAAGAAATACTCATCCATCAGGTAAAAATCACACTCAAAAATCTTATATGCATGATATATCTTAAATATATATATATATATATATATATATATATATTTAGAATTTCAATTAATTTGAAAATCATTTAAATTAATTTTTTTTTTTTAGGAACTGAAATTACAGGATTAGCTCATCAATTAGGATATGAGAGAGAAGTTATACGAATTTGGTTTTGTAATAAAAGACAAGCCTTAAAAAATACTGTTAGAATGATGTCAAAAGGAATGGTTTAATAATAATATTTTTATCATAAAATATAAAAATTTAAAATTGAAAAAAATCAAAAAGTTGTGTTTAAAAAAAAGTTTTCTTTTTCGTTTGTTAAGAAAAAAAATAATGCTCAAAATATAAATTACAAAATACAAAATATTTATACAGAAATGAAATTATAATTTGTACAAAAAACAAAAAATGTGTCGTATGTAATTTAAATTTATTTTGTCGTAATAGAATTTTTCCTGTTATTTCAAGTTTTTTTTTTTTTAAATTCATCAAAAAAATACTTAAAAAAATAAGTTCAACTAGAAATCAGTTCAAATTTAAAATTATTGTGCTAAGTATTATTATACTAAGTCAGATTTATTAAAAATTTTTATAAATTCTAGCCACAAATAGAAACGATTACAAAAAATTCAATTTTACTTATGTTAATATTATGGGACGTATAAATTTTAAATGTGCAACAATAACTGAGAAACATTTAATAATTTGCTCTATTTTTTTAGCTCCAAGAATTACGAGTATCATTAGTACACATTCATACTTCATTTGTATTACAATATTTTGCTTCTTCTACGTATCCACCACTCGTATTCCAGTCCATTGTCTGACGTTTCTTAGTCAAGACACTTCTGCTTTCTTCCCACACGCCTTCTTCCTTCAATTTTCCCTTGTAAAATTAGCTATAGTATGAAGTATTTTTCATTACGCATCAAATTACCGAAAAATGTTGTACAAAATTAATTACAATATTTAAATTTATTTTATTGAGTAGTTGTTCTTAGTATGAATTTTTCATAGAAATTTTGGTTTCAGAATGTTATCATTTACCCTAAAATCACTTTTAAATTCATTTTAAACACATGCACTATTGGGTTTTAATGGGTTTATTCTATTTGTATGCCTGCACAATTTGGGTTAATTTAAATTTTGTACAATTTTGAAAATTCTATTTGAGCAAATTAAAAATTGAGCTTAGTAAAATTTATAAAAGTTTTCTGTACTTTTACCCAAAATATTTACACAGAAAAATATTTTATATTAAAAATCATTTGGACCGATTGTAATTTAAAATAACTTTATGTATACTTTTTTTTTATATACTCAAAAATTTCTTTAAATATTCTTTAAAATGTGGAGGTCTTTAAATAAGAGAAAATTATAATAATTATTAATAATACTCGTTTTTATAAAATATTATTATTCGTAAACAAAAATTGTAAAATTTTTAGTAAACAATCGAAAAACAAAAAAAAAACAAAAACAATTAAATGTGTCATAAAATGTATATATACAGTACAACCTAGTTAAAAGTGTGCCATGACATCATTATTTTTTTTTTTATTAATTTCTTTAATGTATAACAAAAATTATGTATAAAAAGGAAAAAAAAAACCTAATTTTAATAAGTCGTTATTTTATTCATAAAATTTAATATATTATTTTTGTTTTTAGAAAATCATAAAACACACACATACATATATACACAAAATGAAAACAATCACACATTTAAAAGCAAAAAAAATTAAAATATTAAAAACTAAAATTGTAATAACTAGCTAGTAATAGTAATTTTGAATAGAATTTATGTTAAACTCCTAAAAGTATGCTACATTATAAGAACATTTTTAATTACGAATTAAAGAAAGTAACAAAGACATTCCAGTATTAACAATTTTGACATGAAATCAATCAACTCTGCTTTCTATTATTGAAAAATTTCTTGAATATTGTAAGTATTTTACAATATTTTGCTTTTTCACTCAAAATACTTTTTAAAATTCTAATTTTCTACATAAGTCTCTATAAAATATTCGATATATTTTTAAAGTATGTAAGAATATTCAAACTTATTCATGATTGGGCATATTATTTAAAATTTGTTTAAAATTAACTCTTATAATTAATTATAAAAAATCTTCTTATTCTCATAAAATTCAAGTTGGCGTGTTAATTTAAGGGTGTCCCCCGCCTACATGTAATTATTATTTACTGCATGCAATTCCGCAAACAATCCTAATAATTACTACAGAAATCGATTAATTTTCTTTTGGTTTTACTAAAATGCATTAAAAATGATTTTTTCGAAAATTTTTTAATTTTACTAACATTGAGTTATTCAGCTATAAAACTCTAATTGCTGACAATAATAAAATACATAATATTAAAAATATGTTTTCACTCCAACTTATTGTTATCGTTCGTAATAGCATACTTTTGAGTGCACAATATAAATTTTATTACAAAAAAAAAAAAAAATAACAAATTTAAATATTGTAAATTTTTTTTTTCCTCGACTGTAAAATGAAATTATTTAATTAATTCTAATAATTAAATTTAATATTTTAATATAGGGGTAAAAATAATTATTGACCAATTAAACGGTATACATAATATATATATGTGTATATATATATATATATATTTGTATTAATAATATCTTATACGCATGTATAAATTTTACATAATGTGGTATAAAATTATTAAATAATTAAATACGATATTTATACATGTATTAAAATATATAGAAAACGTAAAAAGAAATAATTATACACAATTATATAGAATAATATATAATATATATAGATATTACTAAGAAAAACAAATACATAGGTATATATATAGTTATATAGATGTAAGTAGAACAAAAAACAAACAAACAAAATGAATATTATTAAAAATTAAAAAAATAAATTAAAAGTTTAAAAAACTAACAAAAAAATATATGAGTATGTATATATATATATATATATATATATATATATATATATATATGTACATGTATATGTATTTAATTTATATATGTGAAAATTGTAAATAATCAAAAATATTGAATGAATTATGTACACACAAAATATACAAAATAATTATTAAATGTAATTATATTGTAATTTTAGTATTTTATAATAATTAAATCTTCATTTATCGAATTTATATTATATAAAATATTTATAATTATTATATTGTATATTATGGTATTTTTATAAATTAATTATAATGTATAATTGTATTAAATATAATTCAAGTAAAATTTTGTGTAAAATGAACAAAAAAAAAATAATAAGTATTATATAATCAAAAGGAGCAAAAAAGAAAAAAAAAATTGTATACGTCATTTGAAAAAAAAAAAAACAAGAAAAAAAACAAATAATTTAAAAAATTATATGAAAAAATTGTAAAATTAAAATCACAAATATTGTATACGTTCAAAAATATTATAAAATTTTTAGTTAAAATAAAATTTTTATTAAGTAAATTTTTGTAACTATTTTCCAAATATAAAAAATATCTTGGGCTTACTGTAATTTTATTTCGTATGTAGTTCAATTTTTTCTGGTTCTACTCTATATTATCTGCAGTATTTACTTTAATTTTCGGTACTCTCTTCAGAAAAACTCTAATTTTCTCTTATTATATAATTTTCTCTAATTTTTTACTCTCCTTATTATTATTGTATATTGATCGAGCTTTGTTTATTATAATTTAATTATTTTTTTATATTTATATTATTAATTAATAATAATTATTATAAATTATTATTATATCGAAATCGAAAGTAGTTACAAAATTATTTATGTTCTTTAAAAAATTTATATTATATAATTAAGTATATGAGTATTTTAAATAGAAATAAAAGTTAACAATAACATACGAAAATTTTAATTGATTTACAAATTCAGTAAAGAATAATAACAATATTCTATGTATATCATTGCTTGGGACAACGAACATAGTTGTCAAATCTCAACAACTTCCGAGATACATGGATTTAAATGAATTAAAATGAAATTTCTGCTTGCTAAAGCTGTTTTGCTTATAATTTTTCCTTCCGAAAAAGATAGAAAATTTATTCACATAATAGAGATCTTACAATCTTAGATTTGTTCAAATAATAGAGATCTTACAATTTTTTATAAAAAAATAACTAATAATAAATAATTGTGATCAAGAATATTAGTAACAGTTGATATTTACACCACTTAAAATCAATAAAAATTAAAAATAGTGACAATTTTGTGAATTAAGATCTTAAAAATCTTGAAATACAAATGGTTTTTCTGTTATATCACCTGTACCATAAAAAAAAATTTTTAATGTTTAATAAGCTTAAATTAAAATTTAAGAAGTGTCTTTTATCTTGATCGGAACGGAAGGTGTAAGCAAAACAACTTGGACAAGCAGAAATTTCGTAAAAAATTAACAAAATCTTTGTACTTCGAAAACCGTTGAAATTTGATAACTAGTTCTAAGCAAAAATATTACCCATTTTTAATGCCCTAAACAATTATATATAATATTGTACTCTTTACTGAATCACCCTATATATTTACATATTATGTACCATTTTTGTTATCATAGTAGACTCGCAATTAATATGAAACAATAATAATAATGTCAGAAGGTGTTCAAAAAACAAAATTATTTTTTTTTATATCTTTTTCATTTTAAAAGGTTTTCGTACATGTTTATGTTCAATTTTATTTGAAAATTTCATATAGGTTAGCTTTAGTTCGTATATAACATAAGTAATCAGTAAAAGTAATTTTGTGTTCCCTTAAATGATCGTTTATATTGTGCCTGTTCATAACTACGAGTCTATTATATTTTGTCTTAATATTGAAACCATGTGAAATTTTTTAATTTAATTTGCAATAATAAACAACAGGTTTTGAGATTTTCCCAATAGATTTATTGCACATTGTTTAACCGGTTTTCATAATTAATAAATGATATCTTATTATTTAATATTATGAATAAATTTATTTTTTAACAAATTACTTTTTTATTCGTAAATCTCATTTAGTGTAGTGATTATCTGAAAATTCTGTTTTTAATAATCCCTGTTCTCAAAATACTAATTCTCAAAACCTGAGCTAACAGAACCTGAATTGTTACAACAATTCTGTATTACCCTACATATTTATACCTTATTAACCCATTAGAATTTATACTTTAAATTTTGTATAGTAATACAGTATTAAATAGTACAAGAATTTTCAAATTAGTTAAACGCTATTGATTAAATTTTTGTCTGTACTCATATACTTAATAATATTATATATATATATATATATGAAAAGTATACGATTATTAACGAAACCAATTGAAAAGTAAATAGAAATTGACTATTATTAAGTCCAAGAAAAAATATTATTATTTTAAAAAACATTATTCTAGGACATTTTAGACAAAAACGGATACTAGCTATTTTGAACAAAAAACAAAAATTTAAAAAATAATAAAAAAAAAATGGAATTAAGAACAACATTTGGAATTTTTAATACGATAACAAAATTATCAACAAAAAAATTAAAAATTTAGAACCATTTTAAATAAAATAAAAAATAAAAGCGTAAAAATTAAACAGATTAATTGATGTGATTAAAAAATTATCAAATATTCAAAAACAAAAAAAAAAAATTATGATGTATACTTAAATTTCGTTAAGGAATAAAGAAAAATAAAATGAACAGACAAAATTTAAAAAATTTATAATAAAAAAAAAAAAAACAAAAATAATTGTAAGACTTTAAGGAATTTTATTTTAAATAGTTTTTAAGTTGATAATTAAATAGAAAACATACAAAACAAAAAAAAAAAATGAAAAATTAAAATTAAAAAGTAAAAAATTTTAGCTGCTAATTTGTAGTTAAAAATTCTAGGATTTAAAAATTTATTAATTGATAACTAATGATATATTATTATTAATTATTATTATTAATTATTAATTATTATTATAAATTATTATTATTTAAGTTAATAAATTTATTGTAAACTATTTAGCTATTATCGAAATAAAAACAATAAAATTGAAAATATCTAAAAATAAAAGAACAATAAGTTTTAAATTATTTAAAAAACACTCCATTTTGAACCTTGAAATTCTTGTGGTAGATTGCTGCATGCTATATCTATAACCTTAATCTGCTAGACGCGTCGCATATAAAAATGTGTTATTTGACAGATTTGCTATTCTATTAGACGCGCGTCCCACCATTTATCACAAAATGTTATTCTTGTAGACGTATTTTTGAAAAATATCACATTTCTTATCACATTTAGCCTTATATATTTTGTTGTCGACCGAGATATAAAAGTTGTTGAAAACTAAAATTTAAAGAAAATGGAGAATAGATAATTATTGCAGAGCAAAACATTTTACCAGCGTAACCAATCATAACACGATATAGATTCGAAAAACAATTTAAATATTTTGTGCTTAAACATTCAGATAATAAGTATAATTAGATATTTTAATAGTAATATTGAGTAATTTTTTTAATTACAGTGTAAAAGTATAAACAATAAACAGCAATCTCAAATTTTAATCGGAAAATTAGTTTTCTCAATTTTTTTAATCGCTTCCATTTCATAAAAAAAAATCTAAAACACCTTTCTTTTTCTAATTTAGTATTTATTATTTATATTTTTTTTGTCACCAGTTTATTTAAAAGCAATATTCTAACCTTTTAACATCAAAAAATTTGGAGTCTTACTTTTTCTGGTCGCATCACATTTCGCGCCTGCTAGAATAACAAAACAAATGCAACTTGACAAATGAAATGTGACGCGTCTAGTAGAATAAGGCTAATTGTTTGCCGTTAATATAAAATGCTTATGTATAGATTTTGGCAAATATGCATATTCACAAGAGTAGTGTTTCAGCTCTTTGATATAGAATTTGCTAATCCTCTCTATAATTCTTCAATATCTATACTAACCGCTTCATAAAACAACAATATTTCTACTATAGTTCCCATAGTCTTCCAATAATTATATTTGGCAACATAACAAATTGTAACAAAATCACTCCAGCAGTGACAAGCAGATTACTAATCTATTAACAAGCAAATTAATAAATAATGAAAAAGTAGTGTTATATCTTTTTCAGAATACGAAAACTGTCTTAACTTGAGTAAATTTTTTTGAATTATTTAGTGCTTAACAGTAAACAGATGTGAACATTGATATTATTACTCGTATTATAATATGTTATCACATCTGTTATAATAATAATATTGATTTGTTATTAAAAATACCATTATTGTAAAAATTAAAAAAGTAACAACTTAACAACAATTTATTTAAAAAATTATTAATATTAATAAAACACTATATTATAAATCATCAAGTTTTTCTTCACCATATCTTAAATCTCCAGTCTCAATTAATTCAATATTTTTTCGATCAACAATTCCTTTTTGTTTTCGTTCAAGAAATTCAATACTGCCATATCTAAAATATGAAAAGAGAATAAAATTTCATAAGCATTTTAATTTATTCGAAATGTACCCTATCATTCCAGCTGTCATTAAAGCAATTAAAGCTAATAATTTTGTTGAAGTACACAAATATGGACTAATAGCATAACCAATCACAGAACCAGTTGATTCCCATAATCTAAAATTACCATATGCAGCGATTTCATTTTTAGGGAATAAAATACCACAGAATGCTGAAAATATTAGAAAGCATATAAATTATTAATATGTAGGTAGCAGTTTACAAATCAAATTATTTGTGTTTTAAATATGCATATCCTAGCACTATTTCATTCTGTTTGAAATTGTTTCTTATCTTTAATTTGCCTTCCCTTTTTTTTTGTTTTGAACTTTTGTAAAATTTTTAAAAAATATCAAGTTTAGATACTCTATTTTCTAATAGATGGCGCCCTAAATAATAGAGAGATATTCATAAAAGAACATAATATATAATAATTTTCTACCGGTTGTTGTCCATAATTACGATAAGTTATAAAGATTACTTATTATAATTATTGTGATTTTATGATTTTTTTATGAACCGAATTCTAATAGGTTTTTCGCCAAACTATCTTCATAGTGTTTTTGGACCGTGTGAATAACCCAACTACTTGTATTATGGATACCAATCAAGTATATTGTTGTAAATTTGTTTTTACGTATATATAAATTATTTACGATAATTAATATATATTAAGAGCAACTATACTTTTACTTCATGTCGAATTTCCGTTTTTGCGTATATAAAGAGATTTCCTTAAAATTTAGGATTTTAAATTAGGGTGTTAAAACAATAAACTAGTTAATTTTTGGAATATATTAAAACTCGGAAAATTAATTTTCATTAGGGGCCGATTTTACTAATTTTAACAGTATCTTTGAAAATTATTGATGGATTTTCTTGAAAATTAATAATTAACTTCTGTTTGTCACCAGTACTATCTAAGGAAGTTTGCGAAAAATTCGGAGAACGGTAATTCTTTTTTTAATGGGTCATAAATATTATTATAAAAATTTCAAATTTTTAGAACATGATAAAAAATGTAAATATTTTTTTGAGTTCATAGTCTTAACACAGTTTTGCAATTATAGCAAGAGCACAAAAATTAATATTCAAAATATACATGAACTCGTAAAAATATAGCGGTATTTAATCTTCAATTAAAAATTAAAATATCATGAAAAATAGTTCTGTAACAAAAATTGTAATTGAATTTAATTTTTTCAGTATTTTTTGTAATACAGAACAAATGTTACATAAAATTAAATCTAATTAAATGCTGTACCTAGAGCATATTTTAAGGAAAAATTTATGGACATCAGTAAAATATTTCGTTATTTATCACGGTACGAAGACCTTTACTATCAAATTTATTTTTTTTTATATACATATAAAAATTTTACAACACAATATAATTTGCCATATCCACAATATCCACATTTGTTTCTATGTAATATAAAAATTTAATAAATTTTATATTTACCATTTACATTTACAAGCCAAATACCATCACATACACCCCATATAGCAGCCAGAACACAATAACTAATATAGTCGTTTTCAACTGCACGCCAATTATACATCCATATTAATAATGAACCTTGTAATAAATAAACGAATATCATAATACTTATTCTTCCAAAATATTTTGCAACTGCACCAGCAAAACCAGCAGCAATTGCATTTGATATGCCAAAACAAATCATTGCAAATCCAATACGTGATATTCCCCAACCGCAAGCAATAAAAGACTAAAAATAAATTGAAAAAGAAAATAATTGCATACATGGTCAAAATAATACTAAAATTTTAAATGAAAATTGCTTATGCTGAAAAATACTTGCTTCAAGTAAATTAAGACTTACTAACAAGATAATAAAACTACTTTCAACAGATTGTGAAACTACGCTAAGCTAATTAATTTTGAATTTTAGTTTTAATCTTCCTCGAAATTTTTGGTAGAAAAAATAAATCTTAAAAAGTTTAAATTAAAATTCAAAACTATAGATTCTAATTTATAAATTTTAATTTATTAGGAAAATCCAACTATCAGTAAGAAAATATTTTTGCCTAGAAAACTCAAATAGCATAGAAGCAAATTGCCATTTCTATATGGCGTTAATAGATCACAATAAAAATATAATGAATAAATTATATTCTGAAAAAAAAAATATTGCTTTCATATTATTTGTGCATACTTACTACTGTAAAATCAACAGCTATAAATGCTTCCTCAGCACCAATGAACATTGTAATTGGTAATATCAACAATTGATATTTTTCGGATAATAATTTTAATGTCACCGATAAAAGTTTTATTCCCGTTAGACCTTGACTTGCATTTTTTCTCGTAACACCATATCTGTAATATTTTAAATAAATTTTGAAAATTAAAATTAAAGGTTGAAATGTTATTGAAATTTAATTTAATTCTTTATTTAGTCAAAAACTTTCCAATTTCAATCAAACTATAGTTATGACTAAACCAAGTCTATTTTATAACTATTTTGAAAAGGCTCTGACTAAAACAGTATTTGTAAAATTTTCATTTCTTTTCATACTTAGTTATTCCATTTTCTTCGGGTTTCAAAATCTGTTATCAATTCTTATTACAAAAATGTTTTAATCACATATTCGAATTCATAATTGGTTTTCGTAGACCTGTCAGCCCGAAATCATGTATGACCATAAAATATATTGTTTAGATTCTTTAAATCAATTAATAATCAACTTTCTAGCCATAAACTGAGTGTCAACTTGAATATTTTATGCCGAAAAATTTTACTATACGACCACACCCATTTTCTCTTTTGAAAAATTTTGTTAGTTTGGTCAAATTTCTCACTTTAATTTGGCTAAGTATTATCTAAATTTTAATAAATTTCACTAGACAATTAATTTGAAAACGAATAAGTCAATTATTATAATTTCTCCGTGGTTTATTTGAATCTACTTCGCCTTTTTTGCCTTATTCCATATAAATTTTGAATTGTAAGAGGTTTTTACAAAAAAAAAATTGCATACTTTTAGGTCAAAAATTTCAAATCGTTGTTATCATAAGCAAAATCGAAACTAAATTGTGTTACGCGGAAACAAACGAACAGCAGAAGTAATTTTTTCTGTTTAGAAGATCAGTTTGTAAAAATAACAGAAATTAATGTTCAGAGCGTGTTATAAGGTCACTAGAAAAACGATATATGGAACTTAATAAACAACATTTTCCACTTCAAAATAAACTAAGCTCAATTGATATTTTTTTTGTATTATTATGAGAAATTTAAAATTAAAATTGTAAATTTGAATTTTTTATAAATTTTCTAATCTTTTTTTTTCTATCCCCTTTAGCAACATTAAGAATTAAACTTTTTTGACAACTATCACAACACGGCAACAAATAGAATATACCGACCGCAACATAGTTATTAGCAACCATAATCAAGATATTTTATAATGATAGACCCATGTTAAAACAATACCCATATTCTCATTGTTTTGTCAACTAACATGACAGTCCAGTATGACAATAACAATATTTCTAGAAGAGATTTAAAATTCTCTCACTCTTTTTCTCTTCCTCTCTCTCGCAAAATACAAATGAATATAAAATTTATACTTTATTTGAATATTTTGTTATAAAAAGGAACTGAAACTATGGAATAAATTTTTTTTTTGAATTTTTTTTTTGAGGTGGTGTGAGATAAACACTATAAGACATTTATGCAATACAAGGTCTTAATCAATTTACTACTTAAAGTTTTATTCAAAAAATTTCTCTGTTTGTTAAGAATTATTATCTTAAGAATATTTTGGAAACAAAAAGGACGAAAAATAAAGTTTTTTTTTTTTTTTGTTGTTTATTCTTGTTATTTATTTGATTAACTTGGTGTAACATAAATCTCGATGATAAAATGAAACAGGAAACTTTTTGATTTCATTTTTATTTATTTATTTTGTTTTATTTCCTCAAATTTTTTTTTTTTTTATTGTTTGTGTTTTTTTTTCAAGTATCAAAAGCAAATATGGAGTTTATAAAAAAGATTTTTTTCCATGAAAGAAAATTCAGTATTTTTGCTACCTTTTTTAAAGCTCAAAATGTTTAGTGAAAAAATTGCCATTCGCTTATGGGTATGTGATTAAATAAACTTTCATCTCAGTCGATTAACTCTGGCATGATATTATTACTCACAAATTGCTATAGAAAATCATTAAAATTACTCAAATTTATTTTGATACCAGCAAATCTGATGGTGTTTTTGCGGCACATTTTAATTTTATGTTGTGTATCGTTTACTATGTTCATGGTATTCAACTGTACTTATTGAACAACACCATTTTAACACTTACAAATCGATAAAATTAATTTAAAATTTTGATTTTATAAAATATAATTAACAACAATTTTGCTATATAAAAATCAACTATACCATTTTTAATAATAATAAATTAAATATTTTAAAATTTTTCCCTGTATCCTTCCCTATTCACCTACAAACATTTTATTCTTATTCAACTGGTATGTTAGACTAACCTATATAGTAGATGACAAAGAAAGAATAATATTTTATCAAGTGTTTTCCAATTTCAAATAAATTATATACAATTGGTATACCGTTATGAATCATTTTCTATTCTATTTACTTAGAATTTTCCGGGTCAACTATTATTTGTTTACTAAATAAAATATTAGAATACTCATATGAGGGCTGTATAGGTATAATATATAGAGAACTGTGTTGTTATGTGATAATAAATATTAATGAAAGTGTCACAAGTTAATATATTGTGTAAGTAACCATCAAGGGAAAAATATATTATATACATTGTATTTTGACTGTATACCAGCTGACAATATAGCATTTCATATACATGTCAAAAGATGAATTGTTTCTTTTTTTCGGTTTTTTGTTATAAAAGAAGAAAATAATTTTTGAATTCTCAAGGACATATCGATTTAATACTTTAAAATAATTGGCATTGAAAAGCTATTTGTGCGTATATACACACAAATATACCAATATGTATATTTTCATTCGTACATGTGTACCCATACACATAGCATAACAAAAATGTGAATTTTAAAATTTATTCCTTAATATTATTTAAAAGCCATAATTTTTCACAAAAAACAAAAAAAAAAATTATTATTGAAATTTAAAATTTATTTGAAGAATTTTTTTTCCCATTATAAAGCGAATTTCAACAAATTGATTTTGTATAGCTAGTTGAAATTTTTTTATTTATTTTTTTAAGGATAAAAATAAGGATTTAGTAAATATAAAAGTGTAAATGAAAATTTTCTCGTGTTGTTTTTTTCTGCTTCTCTTATAAAATAAATATTTTTGCAAATTAATATTTTCTTCTCTTTTGTCTCGGTTTGTCTCTTAAATTTATAAGTATAATTTAATTTTATTTCTTTATTTTACCTTTTAGGGTTATCCACAAATAATGCTATTAAAGAAAATGCTATTGCCATACAAATTAAAAATATTCCAGAAAGCGTACGAATTTTTGCTGGATCTGGTGGTATTAAATTAGAATTAACTTTAGCATCAATACCAGGACAAAAATTTGCACCACAAATTTCTCCAACATTATTTTGAATTTCATTTAAATTACTTAACATTGTTAAATTTTCATAATATGATGAAGTTCCCGTTGAAAATGTTAGCACTATAAAAAATAAAAATATATAAAAATAAATATAATTGAAAAATAATTGTAAATTTATTAAGCATTGGCAAGTACAAAGATTTTATCTGACCATTGGTGCAGTGGTTATGGCACCGGTCCTTTAACCGAAGGGTCTCGGGTTCAAACCCCGGTCAGGTCACTATAAAAATTATATTCAATATTATTATAACTTAATATACAATACTAATAAAAATATTATACAAGTAATTTTCAAATATTCCTAATATTCGATATTAAAAAAAAACTAAGAAAAATAAACAGTAAATATTAATAACCTCAAATAATTAATATATAAATAAAAACTACGGCAGGCTAGTCACCTACCTAGTTAAACCCTATGACGCTATGAAACTAGTGCATGAGAAATCATACACTAAGCCCTATGCTCCTTCTAGGAGTGAACAAAGGAAAAAAAAAAAAAAAAAAAAAGTACAAAGATTTCTAAAAAAAAATTGGTTAAAAAATTTCACATAATCAAGACTTAAACTGTTCATCACCACAAATAATTTCAACAATAATAAATTTTTCGATTTAACTATTCAAATGTTTGTAGGTTTATTAATAAAATTACGTAATGTATTGTACTACATGGACAAAATACTTGCGCTTTGTTTAAAGTTGTATACAACACTCTAAATTACTCTTGGAATAACTAAATTATTTTATAAATAGAACGTTGTTTTAAGCTTTATGTAATGTCGTATGAAAGTAAAAATTAACTCCCAAATTAAAGTAGGTATTAATTTTTGATTGAACGTGTATTTCTCATATGGATATATAGTAATAAATGTGAGTAGCTGGTTCCACATGAAGGTCATTTAGCATACATTTTCCGTTTTATTATTAAGACTCCGTGACCACAAGGTTGTCATACAACATTCGATCAAGGGTCACCTATATAAGCCTCCCAAAACTTTTGAGAAAACTAAAAAATTTCCCGATATTCATAGATACATCTTCCACCCATGGAATGCTTCTCCGGCCCACATATCCTTTCGGGCCTTGTCTAGAGTCGAACACTTGCAGAAATAGTATAAAAAGGTATCTTTCTTGTTTATCATCCGGTATTCATCTACCCGCATCTCCAGCCTGCGTGTTATATAATTTTCCTTTATTAAACTTAATTTTTTTTTGCAATATTTCTAAAATTTCGATCAAAAACTACGAACACTCACTCAAATATTCTGTTAAAATACACAATTTTTTAAATAATATTTTATTAAAAACTTAAATTTAAAGTACTATTGTAAATATACATTTTACTATTGTACTATTGTAAATTTTATTGCACAAAAATTCATTTAAACCATACAATTATTTACGAATTTTTTACAGCTTCTTTAAACCTATTAAATAATTTTATTGTTCCATTTTGATTTTCACTATAAAACACAAAAATCTATAATTCCTCCCAATTATATTAAATTCGAACGTATATTGTAAAAGAGTCGTAACCGCAGTAAAAATGACAAAATTACAGAAAAAAGAGAATAAAATTCTTTTTAAGAGTTAAAATATGACGGCCTATAATTTGATTTCTTTAAGGCTCCGATAACAATTCCATTGTTTTTTCTTGTAATTTTTTTTCGTTTTTGTATTTTTTTCGTTTAAGTGCAAAATTAAATTTCCTTTTTGAATTTTTATTTTTGTTTTTATATTTTTTTTTAAATCCTTAAAATCCTGAAATATTTATTTTCATTGTCATCGCATATTCTTTTTCGATTATTGATTTTCCTTTTACTGTTTACTTCTTACTTTAACTGTTCCTTTTTTGCTCTCCTCAAAGCAACTTTCACGATACTTTTAAAAATTTATTATGGATTTTTTTTATTTTATAATATTTTGCCTCCTTGTATATATTTGATGGCAAAATGGCTTTAAGGCCATGTTAAATTTTTTTGTTTTTATTACGAATTGAGCATAGTGAAACAGAATGGTTGAACTGAGTGTGTACATGCTTGTTTAAGAAAATTTATTATTCCGGGAACGTTTACAGAGTAAAGGGAAGAAGAAAATTATATTATTATAGGCTATATATACGCAAAGACAAAATTTTCATTTGGTGGAAATTATGATTATGGCATAATTTAGTAATTTTGAACTTTCTTTTTTATATTTTGCGTTGACCTATAATAAAAAACAAGAATTTTTATTTCATTTTCGGTTGTATTCAAAGATTTTATTTGGCTTTTATATTTTATTTTATTTTATAAAACATATAAAAGGTAAGTACATTTAAGAATATAAATTTTATTAAAGTACCTATAGTAAAGATATTTTTGAATTTTATTTTGAGAGCAATAATTTTAACGCGTGTTCTTTTATTATATTATTTTCTCCTGAGAGAGCAGAATATATGTATATAGCAATAATTATCAGCCACGAGGTAATAATTATTCTCACGGCTATTATTTACAACAACATTTTTTTTTATTTGATAATAGTTAAAATGAAGATGGTTAAATGCATACGAGTATAAAATTCTAAAAAAAAGTTTTAATACAAAAATTTCCATGATGGGCTGTAGCAATTAACTTTTGTGAAGGTTTAACAATGAAAAAATACAAAAATGGAGGGGGGGGGGGAACGTTTGTTTTGTTGAAATTCCTTTCATTCATTAAGAGCTAGGTGTAAAATGCGATGATTATTCTGTAGCCAAAAAAAAAATTATTATATGGTGAGTACCATTTAAGTTAAATAATACAGCATTTAAAATTTTACTCATATTTCAACAATTGAGGTAATTTGAGAACTTAAGTATCCAAAAGCTTTGACCAATTTCAATGGGTAGTTGAAATAACGTAAAATTTAATTCATGCACACCCTCAAATTGCAGATATTTTTATTAATATTTCGTAATTCTTGATTTCATTTAGAAATTAAAAAAAATTTTAAATTAAATTTTTAAAACTTCAATTAAGAAAAATTTTTTCTTTTTGTATTTTAAAAATAAAGATTTAAAAACCCTGATAATCGTCTCTAATAGTGCTATAATAAAAATAAAGGATTATTAAGAATGATGCAAAAATTAAATTTTCAAAATAATTTCCATTCCTCTTTTCTGTTTTAAATTTCTCATATTTGCAAAAGAGTTGCGAAAAAAGAAAATTATGGAAAATTAAAAATATTCAAATTTTAAGTTTTTCACTAAATTTTCTACACTTTTTGGTTTTAATTGTTTGTGTGTTTGTAATAATATTTTAAGATATTAAGCAGAAAAAAAAATTCTAATAAACACTTTAAGTTAAAGTGAAAATAGATTTTTTTCTTTTTTTTTTTTCTTAAATGCATTAAGATTTTTATTATCCTTTGTAACCTTCTTAACCTGAAAATTTTAATTTTATGTAAATTTCTATATCCTTTTATTTTATCAAAGAAAATCCATTATTATTTACTTATAAACCCACAACAGCTAACTAACAGACACATTAAAGATTCGCATTATTATTGGCGGATATTTAAAGGGTATTTGTACGTTAGGAATAAGTATACGCAAAAAATATAAGAATGACTAAAAAAGAAAAGGTACTCAATTACTTTTTATGTTCATATATAAGTATGTATGAAGTGCACAAAGGTATAAAAAAATTGATTTTACATTTTTCATACCTATATCGGTAAATTGGAAAATTTATAAGCATTTTTTTTGTATTTAAGACCGTATTTACTTAAAATAAAGATGCGTCAAACCAGTGGCTTGTAATGTAGCACTTTTTCCTTCAACATGTGAAAATACTGCTTTTAAAAACAATCTGCACTACATTATTAAGCACTAAACACTAAATTATTAAAATCAGTTTCATTCATATACGATTCAACTATTTCAAAAATTGCATATATTTGGGATGAGCGATGCATGGAATCATTGAAATAAAACAAAAAAAATTTAAAAAGGTCTTAACATAATGCATTGAATTTAAGGGTTATATTTTAGGTAAGTTAAGAAAAATAATTTTCTTTTACTTTAATAACATTAGATTAACCGTTATAGCTTTCCGTATTTCTAGAAATTTAGAAAAACTTACAGTTTCAGATATATTCGATGGAGATATATTTTCAGAGTCGATGGAGATGAAAAAAATTTTTCTTCTAACGAAATGAACTGCTAAGATTTCAGACTCCTACAACCTGCGGTCTGTAGGAGTCTTGTAAAAGCACAACGATTAAGATGGGCAGGTCATTTAATACGTATGAATGAAAATCGAGCGCAAATTAAAATATTCAAAGCAAGACCATTACATAACCGGGCTAGAGGCAGACCGAGAGTAAGGTGGAAAGATAATATTGAAATTGATACCAGAAAAATGGGTGTACAAAACTGGCAACATTGTGCACAAGATCGAGTTGTCTGGAGAAATATTGTGAAGAAGGCTAAACCTGCGGTCTAAAAGAGAAACGATATCAAAAATTCCAAAAGGGAACACCTGAAATTTGAACTTTCTATCATCAAGGGTGTGGAAGTTTTGTAAAGATTTCGACGGACGGACGGAAATAGTAAAAGTAATAGGCACTTTTTATGAAATATTTTTTGGAAAAAATTCTGTTTTAATTTGATCTAGTATTTATATGTTAACATGTATACATATATTATGGACTTCATAAATAGCTCACTTACAATACGTATTGAAAACCGAACTACAAATCGAAACTATAATTTTAAATTTTGAGAAATCAAATATTTTAGTGCCTTCATTAAAATTCTTAACACACCTCGTACCTCATAGCTAACATGATTAACTCTAAATTTATATCATTACAATACATACATACTTACATATTTCCTTTAAATATATAAATAAATTTACATATTTTTTCATTTAAATAACCATTTTAAAAGCGTTTAAAGTAAAGGATATTTATTTTTACAGTTATTTTAGGCTATTTACTTGAATAATATATAGAAGTGTTTTAATATCACCTCTTTAAAAAATCATTTAAAGCAGATATACCAAAAAATTTTTTTATTATAGAATTTTAAGAGAAAAAGTAGTAATGAATTAACGATAAAACGAATCGCGATAATTTCTAAATGCACCACAAATATTATAGGAAAAAGATTAGGAGATTAATATGCTTTACAGAAAAACACAGGTGTCCAAATAATATAAATGAATTTTTGAGAATTTGAAATTTATTGAAAAAGTGTTTATTAGAATTTATTAAAAATTGAACTCGACGAAGGAACAAAGAGTTTTCTAAAATAATTTTGATAAGCTTTTAAAATTTCAGTATTGATTGGAAGAAATCTTTAAAATTCTCTTTTTTCAAAATTTCTACTTATAACTTTTTGTTTACCTAAAAATAGTGAATGTTTGTACACAACTGAAAAAATCATTTAACATCCTTTATCCTTAACCTGGTTATCCTTAACCTTTATTCATATCGAATAGGCAAAAATTGTTTTTAAAAAATTTTAGTTCAATTCATTTTTCATAAATTTTTCAGGTTATTTTCATATTTTTTCCAATCCAAATTACACTTATCATATGACAAATTGGTCATGACAGAGAAAATTTCTACAAGTCCCCATATAACATCATATATTTCAAATTTATTCAAATATATAGACTCATATATTATAAGGCATGTTGTTGCCTTATATTCATTGATATTGAAAATTTTGACAAATTTTGAAAAGAGCCCATGCAGTTATTATATAAGTAAACTTTTATGTACAAAAGAAAAGAGTGTATAACAGAGTTATTTCATACTGTTACTTTAAATGTCATAATTCATGTCATTACTTACATAATACGAGTATTATAAGATTTTTGTAAATTCGATTTCTTTTTCGAAGAGGAATTTTATGCGTATGCTGTGTGCATTATAGAAACTTTGTGGAAAAGTTAAATTAAAATTTAATATTAATTTTAAAAAAATTTATTCAATTAAAAATTCAATGGTAGTGATAGTATTTTAATTAAAATAATACAAAATTCATTAAGATTGAGTGAATGTAAATTGGATAAGAAAGAATTCTGATCGGGAGAAAAATAGAAGAGAATTTTGAGTATATAGTGGAAGTTTTCGTATCTATCAAAGACTTTATTTCAAGACAGTGGCAATATTTTAGAAGATGTTGATAATTTATCACTAAATACTTTCCAGTTTCAGAAAGCATGTTTACCGACGACGTATTACATATAGAGGAGGAAGTTATTTGATGGCATTTAAATTTCGTATATCAAATTTTCGATGGAAACACACTTCTCCATGATAAAGAACCTAAGTAAACTGCTTTTAGAGCGATGTCGGTCTGAAGGATGTCTCAGTTTCGGCTAGATCAATTTTGACGAAATGTTCTATGTGAATTTATTTTGGCTATCTCACCTCTATAATCTTTTTTCGTGCCGATTTTAAATTTTTGCGCATATTAAGAGCCAATATCCCGTGAAATTTAATATTTGAATTCGGGGTGTTAAAACAATTAACCTGTAAATTTTTTGGAAAAATCAGGGCTCTAAAACAAAACTACGGGCTGATTACACATTTTTTACCATATTTTCGGAAGTAATTGACGTAATTTCATGAAATTAAATATTTGAATTCTGCTTGCTACCGAAACTAACTGACGAACTTTTCAGGAAATTCGGATCTCACAGAGCGAAACTCTATTAAGAGCCAAATTTAGATTTTGCTTGGTGTGTTAACTAAAAGCTTACTAACGTTCTTAAAATTGGAATGAAGTGTTTAAAAGGGATTTCCGTAATTTTCTGTAAATCTTTCTCTAAATTAGATAATACACATTGCTTTTGGTTATGTGCTGAACACATAAGATTTATCATTTATGAAAACATCTCATACGAGTATATGTCGTTTTTAAAATTTTATGTGATTTTATATCATTGTACAAATGTACAAAATTTATATATACAAATATCATGCAGGTAAAATCTCAACACAAGTTCTTTAGTACACTATATTGCATACTATAAGTAGTAAAATTTATACTCGTACACTGTTTATTCCTTAATTTGTATGCACTTACATTTTTGAATTACAGATAATTTAAACATGCAAATGAGTTTAAATACAATTAAATTAGCAAGTAAATTTTATTGTATTAGTTCTGATTTGTGCATATGTTCATTGTCTTGATATAAAATATACGCTGCACGCATTAATTAACGATCTACACAAAATAAATGCACTTGATTCGCTTTTAAAATGAGAGTTGTGAATTATATTTGGTGCCATTATACCGACATTTACAAAACTCTCTGATTTTCCTACTGAATGAATTTTCAAATGAATCTGATAAAAAGTTTTGATCAACAATATCTTTCAACAATAATGTTTTGTAATAAATTATAGAAACAATCTTCTTACTTGAATAATTGAACATGTTTAATAGCGCCAAAGTGTGTACACCTTTATATTTTACTACACGTTTAATGTTGACACACTAACCTTGATATTATAGGCCTATTTATTTATTTACATTTTATTTTCCCTATAATGGATTAAAGCGTTAAATGAACAATTTTTTTTTCTCTCTGATGTATTGTCATGAGAGTAATTTGAGCGTAACATATTAAAGTAATATTATTCTTTAATATATATGAGTGCGTTAAAGAACATGTAATTTTTGATGCGTATTTTATATTATATTATAAAAATGTATATAAATATTTCGAATATACATACATACATACATGAAAATAAATATAATATTGTGGTAAACAAGCAATTTCTAAGGGTAATAAAAGTGCAAGACTCTTATGTATTACTCGTGTTCGTAAAAAGGAAACGGGCTAAGTTATTATGTAGCAATAAAATGAAAATTATAACAATTTTGTTTTCCTTTAACAGTTTCTTGAATATACATTTATATGTAGATGAAATTGCGTGAAATGTCATCTTTTATTTTCTTAAGGGTAGTCACGACTAAAATATAATAAAATATAAGAGAATTTATAACGAAAATATTCAATTTATTAAAGTTGTTTTTATATTTTATTCTTACACATATGACACACATGATTGTGCATATATAAAAGTTTTTTGTATGTATAAATAATTTTCAGGTCTATGAATACCAAATTTGCTTTTCTTTTCGTGTCTTAAGGTTTTTTTTTTTCATGAAAATGAAAGGTTAATTTCATATAACTTTTTTCTCTTTAACATAAACGGCAAAGAACATTTGTGATTTTCAATCTTTGAAAGAGTAAAATCATTTTAAATTGAATTCAAATACAAACACATTAAATTGACTTAAATACAAATGAGATTGCGATTCCGGAGTTATGATGGCCGGCATTATTTCCTTTAATCTTTTGAAGAGAACTTAAGTTATATGTCGGTTTCCCAAAGAGTATTCATTTTTAAAAAGAATTTATCAGAATTTTAGTTTTCGGATTTAATTTTGTCTAAACAGAAATTTCATTATTTAAATATTATGGAATAATAACACTGAAATTTAATATTAAAATATAAAATTACCTGATGATGAAATTAAATTGCCCCAAACTTGTGCTAATTGATAAAATACAAAGAAAACAGCAAAATATCGAACAACTGTAACATCACCACCTATTGTTTTACCAACAATTTTATTTGTTGCTTCAGCTACAATTGATAAATAAGTACATTTTGCACACCATAATGGACCACCTACATAAAGCATAATTAATAAATAAAAAAAAATTTTTTCAAATCAATTTATAAAAACAATCAAAATAAACCTAATAAAAAAAACTAATACGTACCACCAAATCCAACACCTAATCCAGCTGGTATAAATGTTAAAAAACTTGGATAAAATTGTGCTGCTATATATGGCATATAGGCCATAAATGAAAATGCCATTGCCCATTTACAACCAAACCATCTATAAAAATTTTCAAAAACCGAAATTTTTGTTATTTTATAGGTAATTATTTGATTAATATAGGTAATTCTATATGAAATAGGTGATAATAATAAGGCGAATTTTCCAACGTTAAAGTAAATCTACTATATATGGACATACTAGATATTATGGAAACATTTATTGTACCAAACATCATAAAACAGTTATATAACCAAGAAATTTTCATATTCGCTTTTTGGTACTACAACAAATATAATAGGAATCAACACTTATCTGAAATATGAAATTATATAATCGGAACTTAAGGGTAATTTCTTTATGTATTTCAATATACTAGATTATAGCATAGTTAACAACGTTGTTACATAAATTTACATGGATTTGTAAAAGAACACCAACAATAAAATTCAAAGAATACTATTTACAAACACATATTTTTACTAAAATGAATATTTTGTCATCAATTTTATGGTATATTATGTATCAATTCATTTCACTTACTGAAGAAACAGTTTTTGAAAAATTCTCGTAAATTAATTTTAATTCGTGTTTGAATTTTTAATAGAAAGAAAATTGTATGTAGGTGTCCTTTTAGTAAAGAAAAGTGAATAAAAACAAGGTAAAAAAAATTTTCATCACACGAATACTAAACCTAGTGGACATGACATGAATTAATAGTTTTTCTTCAATTCTGTTTTATACTCTTATCTATTTCATTATGAAAATCTATTAGGGAAATGGTTTTTAAAACTAAAGAAATTATAAATCATACGTGCGGTTTTCAAACATCAAATCCAATAACATTTTGTATGCTTGCACAAACACAATCTATATAGAAAAAATGCAATCTATAATATTATTTAGGATTAATATGTAGGATTGACTACCTATAGGACTGATTTTTAATTTATGAGAACAAAATAGAGTTCCAAGCTATAACTGGCAAAATCTAATAAGAAAATATCAATAATAAAATTTTCCAGGAATTACAGTGTACATTTTTAGTAATAAATTTACACATGACACAAACCAATATATCAGAAGAAGATAATCATAAATTATAATGTGAAAATTTAGAGGAATTGATTTTGATATTATATTTACTTATACGTTTTTCAGGCATTGAAAGCTATCAAATCTTAATGATAAAGATTTGCAATATTTTGTATTTTTAGAATAATGAATTTCAACTTTAATTGATTTCCGAATGTCATTCTGAATTTGTCGAGTTCATTATAAAATCTTTTTCTTGGAAATTTGGAAAAAAATACTGTTTCGTTTTTTGTTGCCCAATAAGTTCCTTATACTTTATAAACTTTTAATAACCAGACATATTATACTGAAGACATTTTTCAATTAAGTTATATTAAAAGCTTGAAAAAATGTCTTGAAATACTTCCAATTTGAATTCAATTTCACATTATAAGTCTTGGGTTTCAGTCACATGACACTTTTTGCAGAATTCTAACTAGATATATTCATTAACAATGTATTTTCAAAAAAGTTTTTTAGTTATTCCATTTTGATACTAGAACAAAATGTTCCTATAATACTTTAATACAACTTTAGATCATTTCTTTATAGACCAGCTACTAAACACAAAAATTATAACAATATGTTAGAATAAATTTCTTAATTTTACATAAGATGAATAGATTAAGTTATATAGAACTTTAATATATGCCTGAAACAATGAACTTATTAAAAATTCAAAACTTTTTTACACAACAATTTTAAAAATTTGTTTTCTCTTTATTCTCAAATTGTGTGTAATATGTGTGTTTATATACTTATGTACATACGTTATCTACATAATTTTAAAAAAGCCATCCAAATTTGTGTGAACTTAAAAAGATTGAATTGAAAAATTTTTATTAAAAAAACGAAAAAGCAACAGATGATAATATTATGATGAAATGAATACCATTTCTGCTTTCAACAAAATAAGTGTACTGCATATTTTTGTAAATAACATCAATCATCAAGTTGAGTATATTAAGGGTTGTTAGCAGTCCTTATGAACCCAAGCAAGCAAATAACTTTTCATAAAGTATTTTTTTTTTTTCTTTTAAGATTAAAAAAATTTGTAAAGTTTAAGATCAAGTGTACTAGATTTCTTTAAAATTCAAAAAAGCAATAAATAAACGGAGGCCAAAGAAAAATTCTAGTAAAAAAAATATTAATTCAAATAAAAACGAATGATCACATTTATGTCTTTTGGGAGGAAAACTTTCTGAATATATTAGGAGTATTTTCACGGTTTTCAAAAAAAAAATATTAATTCCAAAATTATTCTAAAATACCGAAAATAGCTCAATATAACAAAAACAAACCGAATGGCATAATTAGCTCAAAATGATATTAATAGCTCGACATAAGACAAAATGTCCGAAACGGCTTCATTAGTTCAAAATGACTTCATTAGTCCGAAATGACTTCATTAGTCCGAAATGACACCAACAGCTCGAAATGAGAAAAATATGCCGAGATAACTTCACTAGCCCGAAATGACAACAATAGCCAAAAATCAGACAAAAAAGCCGACCTTAAAAACTAGTTAAAGAAATTTAACACGGAAATATTTTATGAATATTTATCAAGTAAGATAATAGAAAAGTTTTCACCAAGTTCTAAAATTTTTATTTGAACAATTTTTAATTTTCAAAGAGTTCTTATCTAAGTATATGATCTCATAAAAAAAGATAAAAAGATTTAAGCAATTAGTTTCGATGTCTTTTTTGAAACAAAAAAATATCTTTGGGGTCCTTTAGATTAAACAATAAGAATTTTAAATGTTATTAAATGAGATATCAAGAGAAGGGTAAAAAAGAAACATCTCAGAAGAACGCAACAAAAGTAACCAAAAAAATTTTAAAAATTCTTATTTTGACTCAAATCCCTTTTTCATTTAGCTTTAATATTATGTAAGTTCTTAAAATATTTGAGTAAAAAAAATGTATCTGTTTAATATGGAGTAAAGAATAAACCAAAGAGAAATTCTCAAAAAATTATTAAGAATTTTAATTGATTTTATCCTCTAAATAGCAAAAATTTCAAAGAATATCCTTTTCCTCTATACTTAGAAAATATGAAAAATATTAATGGAATTTTTTTCTAAAAAAATTTAATAAATCAAAAAATATGAAATGTACGTTTGTTTATGATTTTCAAGCTTAAAGGAACTAGGATTTCAACTAGAAATTTTCAATCACAATGATTTTGGTAATAGTAACAATATTCTGGATAAATTTGGAAGATATACTACATTCTTTTTTGTAGTTTTCGAAAATTTCCATTCTAGATTGTGGAAAAATGATGATTTCAAAACCAATAATGCTTTCCTGTTTCAGATATCTATAATATGAATTAAATAAGTAAAATATCAAGCAAGCTGTGGTTGAAAAAGAATTAATTAATCTCCTTTTAACTCTTGTGTTTACTACATATATTGTACATATTGTATTTTCCAATTAAATTTTCTATTTTAATTAATTGATTTGATTTAGTTCGTAGAAGCTATCGAAATATTGGGAATATTTTCAAAACGTATGTATTAATAATAATGATTATGTATGTGGGAAAATAATATGTATACTTGTGTTCCGAAAAATATTTTGAAAACAAAATTTTTTTCTAATGAAAATTTCTGCATTTCTATAAGAAACAAATATGTTTTTGTTTTTATAATAATTACAAAAAGTCGATATTTCTTGTATATTTTCTTTAACGTAAAAAAAAATTTCATATGAAATTTGAGGGTTGTCTTTGGTTATTATTCCAAAAGATGATAAATTTCATTTCTTTTACATATTTACATACACAAGCAATATACATAAGTAATCAATGTTAAACAAAAAATGATGAATTTTAACTACATTTCTTATATTGTCATCCTAACAATATTTTCATTAATCTTATAGACAGTATAAGATAATTATTATTAAATCTGACAGGAAATCAATAAAAAATATTCTATGTTATTTTCTTAATATACAAATAATAATACTCGCCCTGCTGTGTTATGATTTTGGAAAATATTTTTATTCAACTTTTCGAAAAATAGAATAGTATAGTTAAAAGTTTTTATGAATTAGCAAAATAGAATTACTTTCGAATACTTTATGTTAAAAGTCTTTCGCATAAGGTAGCAAATAATTTTAGGGGTTATTCTTTGATCTGTTTCCCGCGGAAACTTGCATGGCGGAGGGAAGGCACAGATAAACTCGTTTCGAGCCGCAGTCTGTTGAAAACTAAGTTATCAGATTTTTTTGTGCATATAAATATATGTTTATGAATTCTGAATTATGTAACATAAAGTTACCATTAACGCTGGTTTCACAGGCAATTGATTGCTCTTTATTTTCGGTCTTACAATTAATTTGATTTGTGCCATAGTTTCTGAGAAAAACCTCGCCAAAATCAGAATAAATTTTTGTTTAATTTTTTTTTTTCTTTAAATTCGATTTTTTTTTAATAATTTGTGTTATTATTTTTTTTTTTTGTTTTTTTTCCGATGCGCTACGATGAGATCTTAAAGCTTTGCCAAAACGTGTTGAATGTGTTTAAAAACATGCGAAAATTGAATATAATCCCTGAATTTATCAGCACTTAATCATTCCTGAATTATTACATTACATTATTTGCCACCTTATGCAAAACACCTTGTATAAAATCATATCACAAATAAAGTTATTAATTATTAAAAAATAAAATCATGTTTGTGGAACTTCGTTATAGTTATGAAAATCTTAGAGCTGTGGAAATTACATTCGTTTATCGCAGTAGAAACACAAAATTTTACAATTGTGGGTCAAAAGTTTATGGCCTCGAACTTTATAATTTAGTACTTCATTTAAAAAAAAATTTCCTTTCACCCTTGTACTATTCAAAGTTGTGCTACTTTTTAAATCCTCTGTATTTCAATTGACATTTTCTATTAAATGTGCTCTTTACTAAATTACTTTACATGAGTTGCTCTCTTCTATGTGTAACTTTATTTACAATATAAGTTAAAGTAATAAATAAAAGAAAAAAAATAATAATGAGAGGTTATGAAAAAAGTTTTATAATATCTAAAAAAAATGTTTCTCTCATTTCACTCATTGCTCTTATTTTTTCATAATTTTAGGAGATTTTCATTTTGACAGACTCATATTATTAATTTTTTTTTTTATATATCATGTATTATTGTTAATGTTTAATCTAGAGGGCATAATAGTCATAATACACATAGGATTGATAGTTTTATATTTATGAGATTTAATCAGTTGATTGCTAAATCTTTGTTTCAATATTATTATTGTTATTATCACTTTGGTGTTTCTAAAGATAACAAGTGTTATATGTATACATTATGTATAATAGAAAAACGAAAATAATATTAAATAATATCTACGTATAGTGTATTATGCTAATATTATATAAATATGTATATTATGTATATAACACGTAATAAAGAATTTCAAGTGCCTTACTAATAAGGATATTACAGAAACCAAAAAATATTAAACTATCATACACTTTAACACCATAAGCCCATATGATGTTCATAACACCATAAACTTATAATAGACTCATGTAAATATGTTCAAATTTATTTTATATTTTATTATTCTTATGCTTATACTTAGTACTCAGCTTTCTTGTAAAAGGTCTTAGCATTAATCGAAAATTGTTGAATATTTTATGTAAATTTTCGTGTATTTTAAATTTTAAAAATTTAAAATACACGACTTCTCATCTTCCATTACAGTGTAAATGAATTTTTTATATTTTTCAGTCAAAATACACATGGAGAATACCCTTAACATAATGGCGAGAAAAAACGTGAGAGAATATGAAACAACTTTTTCTGTCACTTTTTTCCTTACACTTTGACCGTGATGGTGTATATCCCTATTATATTCGCCAAGTGAGAAGAAAGTCAGTATATATTTGTATAATGTAATTTTCGAGTGAAAAGAATTGTTCCGCATTGCGTTTTTTTCTAAAATATATACAAAATTTATTTACTTTGTTCTTGAAAGTGAGACGTTTAGTCAATAATTTGAGAAAAATTCAAAATCCGATTGGAAATCCAACATTCTCGCTTGAAAATCACATTGTACGAACATACGATATTCGCTCTTGCCTGCCAACTCTCTTACTACTACTAATAATTCATGGAACGTTCATTTTGCAAATCTTCTCTCACATTTCTTTTTTATATAAGTAAGTGATTACAATTGCAACTCCACTCACTGAGTGATTAGGTATACTTGAAAGCTAGATAGTGTTTCTCTGATTAATAAAATTATAAATCGAATTTCACATTACAGCATTCAAGAGTTTGACTATTTTTTTGGACAAAATCTTTTGGATTTTTTATTAAAGCACCCCAAATTTTAATGTTGAAAAATTCATTTAGAATAAAGTGATTTGATATAGAAAAATTTCCTAAATATAATTTTTTTTTCATTTTTTCTTTTTGCTAATAAAATGCCATAGAGAAATATTTTCGATAAAAATTGTTAATTAATATTTTGCTTTCGTTTGTACATACAAAAGCAAAAAAAAAACCAAATAATTAAAATTTTTTTTAAAATTATGAAGGAATTAAGTAAATATTAATTATTATTAGAGAAACCAAAACAAAATATTTTTTTTAATGAAAATGTGAAATGATATTTACTTAAAATGTTGAGCAAAACTTCCAATTTGGAGAAAACTCTAATTAAAATTAATTTAATAATTTTTGTCTATCTAATATGAAATGTTGATAAATTTCGATAGCTATCCAAGATTTTTTATACAAATACGTTTTTATTCACTGTGAAAAACAAAGTTTCAATTTTATTCCAAAATAAACACTTGTAAATCTGTTTCAATTTCCAGCTCACAATTTCGGGATTAATATTATAAAATGTTTGAGTAAAAAACTCTTGTTCCTGTGAGTTACTCGATGAGAATGCAAGTTTTAATTTTGTTTCCTTTATAATAATTTGTTAAAATTTTCTTGTTTAAGAATAAAATACTCACCTTATTACAGTCACTGGTAAAAATATATTTGATAATATTAGAGAACCGTATATAATAGCTAAAGTTGTTGTACCAAGTGCAGCATCTGAATTAATAGAACTTTGTAAGTTTGTTGTACCATGAAATGCTGTGAAATGAATCATAAATGCAATTCCAATAATTACAACATTTTTTGTTATTCGATAATTTTCATTTTCAGAATAATTTTTTTCAAATTCTAATGGTTTTAATGATTTATTCGGAAATTCATTTCCATTTCTATAATTTTTACCATCGCCATTTTCTAGTTTATTATTATTTTGTTTTTCTTTAGTTGCATAATTTTTTCCTGAATTTGTAAAATTTTCTTTTTTTGATTTATTTTCATTCATTATGATTTATTTTTTTTATTTTCTTATTAAATAGGGTTTTGTTTATTTTTTTGTACTATCGTTGTAGTAATAAAATTCGGAGTTTTTTAATTTCTGAAATGAAAAATAATGAGATTTGAATTATATTACAATATTATCATAATTGGTAAGAAAAAAATTAATTTTTTTTTTTAGATCAAACTATACGATTTCAATTTCCAGTGGAAGTTAATTTTTAATACTGAGGGACTTAAAGTGAATAGTTTTATTTGAAGGGCAGAGAAATGCTCAATCAACTGGATAAACTAGAAAAAATACAGGATTGTTATAAAGACTTTGATTTTAGAAACCTCTCAAGTACTTAAGCCAGAAGCCACGATTGTTTAGATTTCTGCATGATCAATTTGCCCATGTTTTACTTGAAAAACTGCAACAGGTCTTCTAAATTTTAAAGTATTCAAGCGCAATAGTTTGAGTCAATTCTCGTAAGGTGGCAGATTTAAAGGATTACTCCAGTTTAAACCACATAATTGTAGATTATAGATTTCAAAGAAACCGGTTGGGATAGGAGCAACCCCGCAAGCCATCGCAGCCATTCTTAACTTATTGTAGCCTCCCCACGCTCCCATCTATAATATCCCCGTCCCAACCACATAATGCTAATTTAATAAAGTTTTGCTGAACCGCATCAATCCTCGTTATGTGTACAAAATAATAGGGTGCCCCAACTTGACTTGCATATTCAACTTAAACGAATCAATGACACATTCAAAGATTTCGGAATATATGGATAATTAAATGCTTTACTCAATCTTTTCACGAAAGCGAGCATTGATTATTAAATGCAAGATTAAAAATATTTCCAAATTTTAATATCAAATATTACATTTTATAATATACACAATTATTTACTATAATATTTACGTTGTTTTCATTAATATCTTCGAAAATTCAATAAAAATATTTTATAACTAATCAAATATTAATATTAAAAAAATCTATTTCAAAATATACTTACATAATATTTCACTTTTAATTCAATATACAATAAAATTATTAACAATAACTCTTTTTTATATTTTATTCAATTTACCTATAAAAAATCTAATCTATCTGTATTTTTGAAAATTTAAAGTTAATTTTCTATTTTCAAATAAAAAATTTGGAAAAACGAAATTCTTAAAGACCTTCAATGTTTGTGAACTATAAAACAACGATTACAATTTTCCGGGAACGATAAGAAATATATGTATATGTATATATAATATATTTCTATAAAAATATTTTATACAGGTATGTGTACAACGTATGTGTTACTTGCACTTTACAAAAGAATCAATCAATTTCAAAAGAAATCATTCACTTTTACAAGACCTGATATATATTTCTATAAAATATTGAAAAATTAAAAATTATTGTGAATTTAAAAAAAACAAAATGAATTTCATTCTAAAAATCATTTCGAAATTTTTTAACTTTAATATTAAATCTAATTTTTTATCTCTCTCTCTCTCTCTCTCTCTTTTTACAATTGACAAATGCATTGAAATAATTTAAAAAAGAAATTTAGTGATATTTTCACATTTTATTAAAGAATTTATTGAAATATTTCTGAAAAGTTTAAAATAAATTAATCATTTGAAAACAAAGTTCTGAAATTTATTCTTGTATTACACGAAATGTATTTAAAATATTTCAATTCCGTTCAATTAAAAAACTTAAGTTTAAGCTAAATTATGCATTCAATATGCCGTGCCGAATTGTGATAATTACTGCATTATACTGCAATATATTTGAAAATTGTGATAATTACTGCATTATAGTATTGACTTAAACGAGTTTGACTCCATCAAATTTTTTAATTATTAATGAACTTAATCTGAAATTGATAAAAAATGACTGTTTCTCGAAATATTTAAATCCAGTTTCTGGTCAAATTATAGAAGGGGTGGAGTATTTTTAAATAAATTATCGAAAATTTAATTTAATATGGCATAATGTCCTTGATATAAAAAACTATGAAAAATTCATTTTCTGAATAAACTAGAAAAAAATAAAGAATTGCTATTTATAAGAAATTTTAATGTTTCTGTTCTTCTTCTTCAAAAAAAAATGATTAAAGATAAGAAACCTTAAAATTATCCTTTTCACTTTGATATTAAATGCACGTAAATTTTAACAAAATAATTTTCATTGCTTAAAAAATTTTCTTTTTAAAATCAAATCTTTTATATTAAATTTTCAATACAAAATGGAAAGGCAATAAAAAAAAATATTTTAGCCATTTGTTTAGCCAAAAAATTTCCAAAATATATTTGGGTATTAAATCGTGCCTAATAATTTTCAGATTGGTCTAAAAATATTATTTTAATTGAGTTTCCTTTTCTGAGTGAAAATTTTCTCTTATAATAGATTTATTTGTACGTGTGGAAATAATTTTGTATAAAAACAGACCAATTTGTATGCGATAATTTTGTATTTTTCAATTGAAATACAATTATTTAATTGAAATACAATTTGCATTTTGTTTTTTCTTAATATTTTATTCTTATAGTTTTCATTCATGTAATTGTATTTTTTCCCTATTTAACTTACTTCTGCTTCAGCGCATATGAATAACATTAAAAAATAAAAATAGAAAATCTTATTGTATAAAATTCTTATTTATATATTATATTTTCCCATAAATGCACATTTATACATGGTTATACATAATGTACGCAAAAGTATGGTCTATGAAATCAAAGTAAGAAAATTATTTTGAATAAGTTTTTTTTCCAATTATATTTTATATTCTTTTTTATATTTATTTATTTATTCAATTCAATTCACATATGAGCTGGGAAGCTCGTACATTGTTTAGTTACAATTCATTCTTTGTGTTCATTTTTTAAATTCTTAATTCTAAGTTCTAAGTTCAGTGCAACGAAAATAATTCAAAAATATTACAATCTATAATTCTAGAGCTAGGTAGATAATAATTATCAATTGCTTATATTTACTATCGAATAAAATTAATAAAAAATAAAATATTCTTTTTACTTTATTAATTACTTTTAAAATTAAAGTTAGAATTACGCTAGAAACTGAAAGTCTGAATTATTTAATACATTGAATTTTAAAATTTACACCACGCCTAAGTATATGCTATTTTTTCAAAAAATATACGTCATATTGCTTTTGAATAATATAAGTAAAATTAAAAATTTTAAAAAGTGTTATTTAAAAGTTGTTCTTACAACATATTATTAAGGTAAATTAACTTTGGAAACCCATAATGGCTCTGACAGCCGGATATTGAAAACAGGGTATTAATATGAAAATATAAATACTTAAATTTCGAAATATTATCTGAAATTGAGTGTTAGATGGCATTTTAAAAAATTATTTCGAATTCTGATATTAGATAAAATGGTAAAAATTAGATGGTCAAACACGCTCTTAAAATGACATAGAACATTGTCGCAGTGTTCCTATTATTTGAAACCAGGACGAATTGACATTATGTGAAATTAGGCGAGCTTATAAAATATTGTTACGTATAATTACTTTGAAAATAGCCGAAAACTTTTTTTAATAAAAATTTAAATAGATAGAAAGCTGAAAAGAATCACTACAAATCTATTAATCGCGTTTTCTATTAAGCGACTTTTCTATTAAGCGAGTTCGTATATGTGTAAAAGTAAATAGAGATTTTCCTTGTCAAAAATTTTGGGTATCGAGTTGTGATATTAAACAAGATTGATATTAAGCGTCTTTGACTGCAGCTATTTTTCTTCACTCAATCATATTATTCTCATAATTTATACTGTTTTTGCCAAAATATAATTAAATAAAAAATATTTTTCTTTTCAATTTCATTTCCTCATTTTTCAATTATTTTCACATTAACGGACAACCACGTTATTATCATTTTTGTATACAAACCATTCATATATAAATTTTTGAATAGAATTAAATTTAATATTAATTTTATTTCATTAATATTCATTCAATACAACCTATTCATATTATACTTTCGATTTTGATATTCCCACCTTTACTCCTTTTAACAAAAATAAAATCTAGCACTTTGTAAGAAATTTAATTTTTTGAAGAGAAAACGAAAAAATAATTCTAATACAAAATATTTTTCTTTAAAAAAAAATGGAACATTTGAAGCAAAATGTGTCCTTTTCAGTAAAATAATACCAAATACTCGTACATTTATATTGTGATACTCATATTCAAGTATATATTGTAATTCTAATCACAATTACATTTTCTACTTTTTTGATTTCAAAATAACCTAAATACTCGTATATTACGACAATAATACAATAATTTCAAGATTCAAATCACATAAAAGGATATGTGTAACCTAAAAACGAAAAAAAGGATCTCAACAACTTAATACAATAATATCGGCATATCAATTGTGATCGCCGCAACAAAAATACCTTTAAACTATGTTAGATTAGTTTAATAACCCATATTAAATTTAAAACAATTTATTTATATAGAATATAAAATAAATTTGAGGAAATTTTTACCTTTCTAAACAATATATACAAAGTATCCTAATTTTCCATACACTCTTATATATTTTTAACCTTATTATTTAAATGAAATGTAAAGGATAAAATATTCATTGCTAATAAAAGAACCAAAAAAAAAATCCAGAGAAATAGTGCGGATATTTTTTCCAAGATTATAAATTTTGTATTTAATAAAACTTAAAGTTATTTTTATTGAATTCTTTAAAGAAATATTGAAAATAAAAGGAATTTTAAGTTGAAAAAAGATAGAAGCTAATAATATGGAATCTAAATATAGAATGAATATTTTATAATTTCTACAAGAAACTCGGCAGACAAGTCAGTTTTAATATGATTAAATCAATTCTGGTCTGCTCTTTTAATACCTTAAGTCAAATTAATGCAAAAATTTATTAAGTATACTGTTATATTAGAATTATTGTTCTTATATTTCTGATTCATCATAGTATTTGAATCATACCATGCATACCAAAAAAATATTTAAGAGAGTAAAAAATATTCTGGATAAAAGTAAAGTA